GGGCGCGACACTGAGGGTTGCGATCCATTGCCGGACACGAAAAAAGACAAAAAAAAAGGAGGGAAAAAAAAAAAAGGTTATCAAGGGTTCAGTGTACTCGTACGACCACAGTTGTCTCTCTTCCACTCCTGTGATGCTGCGGGCAGGTTTGTGAGGAGATGGAGGGAAGGCTACTCACGCACCACCACTCAGTAGGTGGAAAGAAAACCACACTCAAAAAAAAATAGTTCATAAGCGCTTTGGTCGTTTTAAGAGACTCAAGTATTTCATGAGATTTGCCAAAAAGATATGGGAGGAGATGTGTTTTTGCAAAATACAGTATAATAAATTTAATCTCATCATAAGCTAAGAGAAAAACTGAAAAGCTACCATTCTAAATAGTTTCAAATGGGGGGGGGCATGAAGAGAATATGCCTTTATAGTCCTTTATCTTTTGGTATAGTGGGAGTTTCTCCATCTTGATTGTGGTGGTGGTTACAAATTTTGACACTAATTTGTCAGAATTCATGGAATTGTATACCTAAAAAAGGTGAATTTTACTGTATATAAATTTTTTTGTATATAAATTTTACCAATAAATCTGATCACTGTCCCTTTTTTCCTCCAAAAAGGTCTATGATGTTATGGCAATTTTTTTTGGTTTTATTTTTTTAATAGACAAATAATAATTATATGTATTTATAGAGTACAAAGTAATATTTCAATACATGTGTACATTGTGGAATGATCAAGTTAGAGTAACTAATATCCATTACCTCAAATACTTATCATTTCTTTATAGTAAGAACATTTACAATTCTCTTAGCTATTTTGAAGTATATGTAATATTATAGTCACCTTGCTGTGCAACGTAGAACATCAGAACTTATTTCTCCTAACTGTAACTTTGTACTCATTGACCAACGTCTTCCCTTTCCCTGTCCACCCCCTCCTTCAGCCTCTGGTACCCATCATTCTACTCTCTACTTCCTATGAATTCAACTTTTTTAGATTCCACATTAGATCATATGGTATATGTGATCTGTGCCTGGCTTATTTCACTTAACATAATGTCCTCTAGGTTCATCCATGTTGTTGCAAATGACAGAATTTCCTGTTTTATTAAGGCAGGATAGTATTCCATTTTGTATATATACCACATTTTAAAAATCTATTTATTCATTGATGGACACTTAGATTGTCTCCATATCTGCAGCGATATTTCTTAAACAGTTGATGAAACTGCTACAGGAGAAGAGTGATTATAATTATAGAAGCAAATTTTTGACACCATGAAATATATATAACTTGGGCCGGCCCGTGGCTCACTCGGGAGAGTGCGGTGCTGATAACACCAAGGCCCCGGGTTCGGATCCTATATAGGGATGGCCGGTTTGCTCACTGGCTGAGCATGGTGCTGACAACACCAAGTCAAGGGTTAAGATCCCCTTACCGGTCATCTTTTAAAAAAAAAAAAAAAAGAAAGAAATATATATAACTTGCGTTCGTGGTAAAATGCCTTCCAGAATTTTACTTAGGGTTTATATGTATACGTATATATAATACCATTTTATGTTAATTCCATCTTATGTATTTAATACCACCTTAATTTTCTTCTAACCTCTCTTTTCTATGACCCTTTCAGTAGGCAAGGATATGATATCCTCAAAATTGCTTTGAATTCTTTGTAGGAGAGTGTCATATGAACTTATAGAGCTGATCATTGTCACAATAATTTTACAGAAAGTCCCATTCTGTTGTGTTTTAAAGTAGAATAAATAATACGCACAGTGTGACATATTTCTATTTAGGTCTTTATGGATTCTTCTTTGAACTATCTACTGAGAACATTTTAAAAGAAATTGTACAGATTGTTAAATGTTTCTTGTCAAAATTGATGTAGAACGTAACAGGTGTTAACATTGACTATTTTCTTATTAGTAATGACTTTTATAAATAATTTCATTGCATTGGGTTAACAGTGAATCTGAAGAGACTCAAGCATACATTAAAAGGTGTAAATTGAGGGCCAGCCCATTGGCGCACTCGGTAGAGTGCGGCGCTCCCGCCAAGTATCTGAAGAGACTCAAGCATACATTAAAAGGTGTAAATTGAGGGCCAGCCCATTGGCGCACTGGTAGAGTGCGGCGCTCCCGCCAAGTGTTCGGATCCCATATAGAGACCGGTCCGCTCACTGGTTGAGCACGGTGCAGGCGCGACACCAAGGGTTGTGATCCCGTTACCGGTCACGAAAAAAGACAAAAAGGAAAAAAAAAAAAGGTGTAAATTGACTTAAATACAGCTAGCAGAAATGATGCTTACTAGTTATAAGAGAAGTCAGGTTACTTTCACTCAGCATTGACATTAGGTTTAACTGGGCTTTCTGTAACAGGGGGTCTGTAACTCCCACTTGGTGTTAGAAGAGCCGTCTTCAATTGTGCAGCTGGATTATAGCCAGAAAGTGCTGCTCGTCTCTACATTGCAAAGAAGTCTGCTTTTTTACACTGAAGAAAAGTCTGTCAAGCAAATTGGGACACAACCAAGAAAAAGGTAAGCTTCACAAGTATTCCAGTTTGGTCTTTCTGTGGGGCCTTGTTATAGAAGGTGCTTTAAGTTTCCCTAGGTTTCCTGTTTACCAGATGCAAGCCCACAGCGGCCCTAGCCGGGAATACCTCCTCCCGGAGTCAGACAAGAAGAGTGAGTCCCTGTTGTTGAGGAGCTGCAGGAACCTGCAGGTGTGGCCACTGTGCCTTGTAGGGTGCCATGGTCTGTGTCCACTCCTTGTGCAGGCATCCCCTCCACACAGCCTTGGGGAGGGGTCAGGGATGTGGAGCTCACTCCTTATTCAGCAAGTGTTTATCAAGCACCTCTGTGCACTTGGCTTCTTGTGCCTAACCCTAACTCTAACCCCTAACCTTCTTCGTGGCTCAGGATGACATGGTGACCAAGGCAGGTGGGAGCCCTCCACCGTGGAAACTTAAATGCAGACAGAGCCCTTGTTAACAATTGTGTATACTGCTGTGGGGTACCATACAGTGTGCTGTATGAGTTTAAAGAGGTTTCTAACCAGCCTAGGGGTCAGGGAAGACTTCCTGAAAGTGTGGGCCAGCACGATGAGTGGGATTAGCCAGGGAAGGGGAGTGTTCCAGGTTAAGAGATTCTCCCTCCTTTGACCTGCTATGTGGAGGAAGGACAGGAAAGAGAAGGCTAGGCCAAGTCTACCTGGCCAGCCAGCCATGTGGGAAAAGGCAGTCACAACACGTTGATGACCTACAATTCTTAGTCCCTACCCCAGCCTGGAATACTCATGGGGATCGGGTGAGGAAGGGGTAGGTAGAGTGATGGAGTTGGCCCCTCCTGATCCCGAGCAGGAGGGGGACAAAGTAACAAGGTGGGGGAAGGGAGAAAGCAGAATACGGCATCAGTGCAGGCAGGTTGCAGATTGGCTGGTGGGAGTTGGAGGAGTTCCCATCTGTGTCTCCAAGTGAAGGGTCACTGTTCCCGCAGAGAGTCAGGAGCAGGGGCAGATGGGCCGGGGAATGTGGAGAGGGCTCGGGGCAAGCTCTGTGGAGAACGCAGAGCAGCCTGACTCGGAAGCTCAGTGAGATTGGCAGGTGTTGCTGAGGGCTGGCTGAGGCTGGTAGTGCCATTGGTGACAGGCTGTCGGAGGAGGGCTGGTGAGGTCAGACAGTGGAGCTGCCTCTATGGTCCTATTCATCATCCATTATTCAGTGTCCTGGGCTTTGCAGCAGCACAGCAGTTCATTCTCTTTTCTGCATGGCAGCCCTTCTGCTGTTAATAGACATTCTCATACCTCCCCTTTGGCTTTGATTTCCCATGCTGAGTACCCTCTTAATTTCATTGACAATCTGGCCTTTTTATAGCAGTAGTCTCCCTTTTGGCCCCTGCAAAACTCTGGAGTTTGTAGTTTGGGATTAGTGGTTCTGCAGAACTTGATTCTGACTTTCCCTCTGCCAGTACTTTATTCTTTCTGCCTGGTGTTTTTGTCCTGGCTCATCTGTTGATGTCCTACTGCATTGTGTCTTTTTGGAAGGAAGGCAGAGTGTGAAGAGAGATTTAAAAATTGGTTATGTTTCATGGATCATATACCCAACAGTCTCTCTTAAAACCTGGCCGTCTAACCTCTTGTATGGAGACCTGAGTAATTTCTCTGAACCTCTCCTGGTGTGACTGAGTGAAGTCTTGCCAACATTGATTAAAAGAGCTGCACTCTGTGCCAGCCACTGTCTGGGATGTGGAAACAAACAAATGTGTCCCCTTTCTCAGAGGGAGGGATATTTTATTGAGCCTTACAGAAGTAAGGGTTAATCCAGAATAAATGGAAGGCTTGTCTTTCTATTGGGTACTATTTTAGATGGTAGTCATGAAAGGGCACCTGCCCGCCTATCACTGGAAGCAGTGTGTCATTCAGTGTATAAGTCCGTTTTGTGTCGCTGTAACAGAACTATCTGAGACTGGGTAATTTACAGCCGGCATGGGCCTCAGGCTGCTTCTACTCACAGCGGAAAGTGGCAGGCAGCCAGCGAGTACAAGCAGATCACATGGCGAGAGGAAGCGAGAGAGAGAGAGAGAGAGAGAGAGAGAGAGAGAGAGGAGGTGCCAAGGTCCTTTTAAATAACCAGCTCTCGCAGGAACTAACAGAGGGAGAACTCACTCATTACTCTACCCTTCCCCAGGGAGAGCATTAATCCATTCATGAGGGATCCACTCCCACGACTCAATCAGTTTCCAACACTTACACATTCAGGATCAAATTTCCATATGAGTTTTGGAGGGGACAACACATCCGAACTCCATCATTCAGCAAGCTGCAGTGCATGCGGAGTGCAGCAGTGAGTAAGAGGACAGCCACGGAGACAGGCCTCTGCCCGCAGCATAATGGGAGAGGCAGCCCATCAGCAAGATGTGCACAGGCCACAGTCGGTGCTGTAAGGGAGCAGTCAGGGTGAAGCACTAGAGAATCAATAGGCATGGGGGCGGGGTGCTTCTTCTAGAAAGTAGTCAGGAAAGGCCTCCATGGGCGATGATATTTGAGCTGAAGCCAAAAGCCTGGGAAGAGCTCCTGGGAGAACATTCATTCCAGGCTCAGGGAACAGCAAATGCCAGGACCCCCACTTGGGCCAGGGCTTGGATGTTCGAGAAGCCAGAAGGGGCCGGGGTGGCTGTGGAGAGGTGGGTTGGGGCACGGGCATAGAAAGAGGCTGGAAAGGAAGGTGTGAGCCGGCTTGGGAAGGGGTGCCATCACCCTTTTTATTCTGGCATCATGGAAAGTCATCGAAGGGCTTTAGGCAGGAGAATAAGTCTGAGCTACATTTCAGAGCTCACCCTAGCTCTGTGTGGAGAATTCAGTGGAGATGGACAGAGGAGAACAGCGGGGAGGGTACTGTAGGAGTCCAGGGGGCAGGGAAGGAGGCTGCACTGGGGTGGTTGTTACCAGGAGGAGGGGTAGATGGAGGGAGATGCAGTGTGGAGAGAGAAAGGGCAGGGCAGGGTGATGGAGTGGATAAACTGGGAGAGGGAAAAAAAGAATAAAGATTTCTGTGCTCTTGGCTAACGCAGCTAGATAGGCGGGGAAGCCATTTACTAAGATGGGAAGACTGGGGGAAGGCTAGGTTTGAGGTCAAGACCTCAGGAGTTCTATTTTGGACATACTGAGTTTGAGATGCCTGGTAGGGTAGCCAGGGGGGAGTAGCAATAGGGGTTACGTGTCCAGGCCTGGAGCCCAGGGAAGAGGTCTCAGCCATAGATGAAAATTAGGTCATCAGATACAGGTGACATTGGGTGAGTTCACCTAGGGAGTGTTCATTCACCCAGCACTGGAAACTCCTTCCTGAGTCTGCTCTGTGCCAGATACTCTTCACCTGGGGAGACAGCTGTGAACAAGACAGGAAGGTCTCTGATCTCAGGAGCTCGTGTTCCTATGGGGAGACGGACATCAAGCAAATGCAGAGTGTTGGGTGGTTATACACCAGGGTGTGCAGCTAGAGGAGGGAGCGAGGGGCATGGCGTCTTTTTAGATAGGAGGGCAGGGAAGGCTCCTCTGAGATGGGGATCTGAGCCGATTCCTGAAGGAAGACGGGAAGAGCTGGGAGAGAAGCCCTAGAGGAGGAGTAGCAGCAAGGCCTGGTGTGTGGAGCAGAGCTGGAGCCTGGGGAGGACCCCACCCTCCGGCTGTAGGCCCTGCCCAGGGGGCTGCCTTATTCCAGTGCTGTGGATAGTCACCAGAGGGCTTCAGCCAGGGGAAGTCACTCTGGCTGCTGTTTGGAAATAGACTAGAGGGAACAAGAGTGGGGGTGCAGGGAGGTCAGCAGGGGCTCTGAGTGGTCCAGGTGAGGGCTGGGGCTGGCTCTGGGGTGTGAGAGAAAGAGATTAGTCAGCAATGGTCCCTAGATTGGTGGCTGGGCAGTTGGGTAAGTGTAGATGCCCTTCATTGACATGGAGAGGCCTGGGGAGGAGGAGATAAAGCAGTCTGTTGTGCACATGCAGCGTCCTCTGCCTCCCAGTGGGGAGCTGGAGTACACCTCCCAGGGGGCCATGTGTTGGGAGCCCTTAGCTGTTAGGCGTACCGTACAGCAGGAGTTAAAGCTCAGGGCAGATGAGCACACCCAGAAGTGAGTACAGCTAGAGAAGTGGGGAGGAGTCGGGTGTCGGGGAGTGAGGCGTCGGAGGCCACGTGGAGGAAGCAGCACCCACAGGACAGGCCGAGACAGGCCTCGGGATTTGGTAACATGGAGGCTGCATGTGACCTCCCTCATGTGGAGCAGGGCCGAGGGACTGGAGGGGCAGAAAGAAAAGGAGTGGACAGTGAGTACTGACATCTTTTTGGAGGAATTTTTTTATAAAAGGGAACACAGGAATGGGTGGTGCTCAGAGGGGAGTGTGTGCCTGGTGAGAGTTTTTAAAGATGGACTTTGGCAGCATATGGGGGTGTTGACACGGCAGGCCAGCAGGGAGGACAAAGTGGCCATGAGGACAGAGTGCAGGTCACGGCCTCAGTGGAGCCCTGCTAGAGAGTGGACCGGGGCTCTTTTTCCAGAGGCAGGCAGGGCAGGCAGGGCAGGCTGGAGGATGCACAGGTGGGAGGTGTGTAGTCCTCTTCTCAAGTCTGTGAGCTTCCTTGGACTGGACAGTGTGGATGTTACTTCCAGAAAACCTCACAGACCCCAGCCTCCCCAACTATGTGTTACATAGCCACCATCTGTGTTCTCTGTATTTATGTTGCTTTATTTTATGTGTCAGAGCCCTCCCTGTACCTCTTACTGTATCTCCTGCAAGTCTAGCCCTCAGGGAAGTTAAAGGGCCGTAGCACTTTTGTTAACTGCAGGCAGCATTACAGGTGTGGAGCCTGCACCAAGTTCTGGAGCAGTGTCATGGTCACACCCATTTTGATGGCCTTTGGGCATTTGGCTATTGAGATTGTTGTCAAGCCTTCTTTAACTCATTCCTTGACCCATCTTAGACTTTCATCCTCCCATTTTGGGTTCTGTCAGCCCTTAGCACTTCAAGCCTATGGCACCATAAATTATGTATAAGATTAGAAAACACTACTTTATAGTTACAGTTGGAAAACACTCCCTTCATATTAATGTGGCTCTTAAAGGGAATTAAAGTATTCTTTTAAAGTCATCAGTGATTTTTTTCTGGGAATTATCTCTGTCAAAATTAAGAAACTGTGTTCATTTTTTTTATGATTTTAGAATCCTGCAATGATTAGACCTTAAAAGTTGAAGTTTTAGTGTCAAACTGAGAATGACATGAGCAAGTGCTACAGAATCACACAGCAAGTGGACGTGCCTGCGTCGGGGATTTATTGCAATTTGCACCTGCCTCTAGCTGGTGTTTCCCAACTTAACTGCCGTATTAGTCTGTTTTCATGTTGCTATAATAGAATACTAGAAACTGGGTAATTTATAAAGAAAAGAGGTTTGTTAGGCTCACAGTTCTGGGACAGCCACATCAGGTGCGGGCCTCAGGCTGCATCTACTTATGGTGGAAAGCAGCAGGCAGCCAGGGGGTACAAGATCGCATCGTGAGAGGAAGTGAGAGAGAGAGAGATATGCCAGCTGGGGTCCTTTAAACAAGCAGCTTTCTTGGGAAGTAAGAGAGTGAGAACTCACTACCCCCACCCCCAAGAAGGATATTAATCTATTCATGATGGATCTACCCCCTATGACCCAAACAGCTCCTGATACTGCCTCATTGGGGATCAGATTTCGACGTGAGCTTTGGGGAGACCACACACCCAAACTCTATCAACTGCCTTCTACCGACCAACTCATCAGATCTTTTAGCAGTTCTTAGAGCCCCACTCCCCAGGACCCCTGCCTTTCATAGCTCCTTTCCCCAGAATGTCCACCCCCTTTTCTCTACCTGGCAGCAGTCCACTCAGTATTCAAGGGCTCGCCACCTTCTTTGCCTCGTCAGATGTATCCCCTCGCTCTGTGCTCCTCGAACAGCTCTTTGAGCCTCAGACACAGCACTTCCCAGATGCTGTTGTAATTGTCCAGGCACATGTCTGCCACACCGGGTTATAAGGCAGGGTGAAGACCTCATCTTCTTTACCTTTTATGTCACCCACAGCACCAAACACACTGTCTTACAGGATGTAGGAACTCTAGTGAGTAATGTTAGTTAAACTGAGTGCTTAAGTTATGTGAGGGGAACAGATCCAAACAGAAGTGACAAGAGATTTGTAAGAGGTCCTATAAGTAGAAGGAAAACAGATTTAAAAATTGGATTGCCAAATAGAAATAGATTTGACAGGAGAGAGAGAGGTTATGGGCTGCTTTGCTAGAATTCCTTTGGGTCCTTCCTTCTGTTTAGAGGACCTCTCCAGAACAAACAACCAAAAGCAGTAATCCAACATGATGCTGATTATAGTTGTCCGTGAAAGACCTACGGTGTCAAAACATTCTTGGTTAGTCAAACGATCTTTGTTTCATAGCTGAACTTGTTATGTGATCCCCTCGTTGGACTTTATCCAGAGGGATTTAGTTACTGAGGTGCCAAAGGGACCAGATGAGATGGTGATGTGTGGAGAATTCCCCAAATAACTATCTGTGTGACTGTGTGGGATGGGCCCTAGGGACAGCCTCATCACAACGTGTACAGGGAGAGTCAGCAGAAGCAGGCGCCAATGCCCCAGGCGTGCCACGGTGAAGCAGGTGGAGCTGAGGCGGCTCCTGCTGCAAGCTGCCTGCAGCCTCGTGAAGAGTGGTTGAGCATTTGTGGGGACTTAAATGTCACAGCATTGCTTTTTGGTGCTTTACATAGATTATCTCATTCAGCTCTCACTTCAGCCTTTGAGATGGCAGTTATTATGCCTGGTTTACAGATTAGGAAACTGAAATCCAGAAAGGTTAAATAACTACACACCACATAGCTGTTAACCATCAGGGCTGGACAGTCAACCCATGTCTGGCTCTAAAGCCAGTACTCTTTCTCCTGTTCAAAATCTGAGAAGTATTTTGTAGAAGGAATCAGTAAGGCTTAGGATTGAACTGAAACTCTTAAATTTGAACTCTGGTAGGAGTCTGAGAGTTGGCAAAGATATGGAACGATGACAACTCAGATTACTGATGGGAGTGTAGATTGATATAATCACATTTTAAAAAGTTTGAAGTTGTCTTCAAAACTTGAATAAGCTCTCAACAGCCCAACAGTTACTCAACCATTTAACAATTCCACTCCTGAAGTATGCTTGACAGACTCTTATACTTGTGGACTAGGAGGTATGTGCAAAAATGTTCATAGCACTATTATTCAGAATAGTAGAAAAGAAAAATAGTAATGATTCAAATATCCATCAACAAGGGCAAGAGTAAACAAGGCATGGAGAACTATATAGCAGTGACAACAGACAGGCACTTATGGCTTCTGTGGTCAACAAGGATAAGTCCTAGAAACATAATGTTAAGTGAAAAATAATGTGAAGTGAAAAAAAGCAAGTTGCAGAAGTATACAAATAGCACTGTACTATTTTTTTATAAAAATGAAAGACAAACAATACTAAATTATGTATTGTTTAGGGATACATAGATATGTGATTAAACTGTCAATAAAAGCAAGAGAATGATACACACAGAATTCAGGCCGGTGGTCACATCTGAGGCAGGAGTGGGCAGGAAATGTTAGGAGCACGAGAGAGCATCAGTGATGTGGCTAGTGATTTATTTCCTAGGTTGGGGGATGGGTTCCCAGCTGTACATTTCATTATTTAGCCTCATAACTTATATATATTACATAGATTCTTTTGTTTATGCCAGATATTTTATAGCTTAAAAAAGAAAAAAATATCAGGCCTGGGGAGCAAAAGGGAATTTGGTAGAGAAATTCTGAGAGGGCAACAACGTCAGCGGGTTGTTGTGATTCCAGACGGAAAGCCCATTCATTCGGGTTGCTGGGGTGAGAGCATGGCAGTCAGACGTCAGGAGGAGCAGAATCTCAGAGCAGGGCAGGGATGGGCAGACCTGGATGTGTTGCCTTCTGCCTCAGTTTCCTCCTCTATAAAATGGGAGTTGTAATATTTGCCTCATGGGGTTGTTGTGGGAACCAAACAGGAGAGTAGAGATTGAGTGCCAGGCGCAGCGCAAGCCGCTGTGGGCACTCAGTGGATGGTCCCTGTGAAACCAGGGTGTGTGCTCAGTGGGCACACACTGTGAGGGTATGGTGGGGCCTCTGTGGGTACAGGGATGGCAGTGTGGACTAATTACCAAAAAAGACTAACAGTAGAAAAGGGGGAAAATCAATTATTTAGGCTTAGCCCCAATATTCTTGTTATAGTTAATATCAGAGTTGACAATTTTATCACTTTAAATGAGTCCACGCCTGGTTTTTCTTTCTTTCTTTCTTTTTCTCTTCTAATTTTAGTACTGGGAAATTTGGTGCTTGTTTTATACCAGGACTCTGTAAGCAAAGCGATCTAACCTTGTACGCATCACGGCCTGGGCTCCGGCTGTGGAAGGCTGACGTCCATGGGACCGTTCAAGCCACGTTTATCTTAAAAGACGTTTTTGCTGGAGGAATCAAGCCTTTTGAACTGTACCCACGTCTGGAACCCTCCGACAGGGGAAATTACAGCTTACCTGAGAAACACCTGGGGCTGGTTTCCTGCTTCTTTCAAGAAGGCTGGGTGTTGAGTTGGAATGAATACAGTATCTATCTTCTGGACACCGTCAACCAGGTGAGCCAAGAGGACACCCCACATCTCTGGCATCCAAAGGCAAGAGATCGTTTATCTGTGCACTGTTCTGCTTCAGGACACTCATAATGATAAAAGGAGCAGTATTGGGCCAGCCCGGTGACGCACTCGGTGGAGTGCAGCGCTTGGGAGTGCGGCGGCGCTCCCGCCAAGGGTTCGGATCCCATATAGAGACCGGTCAGCTCACTGGTTGAGCGCGGTGTGGGCGCGACACCGAGGGTTGCGATCCCGTTGCCGGTCCCGGTACGGGCGTGACGCTGAGGGTTGCAATCCCGTTACCAGTCCTGGTACGGGCGCAACGCTGAGGGTTGCAATCCCGTTACCGGTCCCAGTACGGGCGCGACGCTGAGGGTTGCGATCCCGTTACCGGTCACAAAAAAAGACAAAAAGGAAAAAAAAAAAAGGAGCAGTATTGATTCTAACACTTTTCCTTTTCCTTTGAGCCAGTAAAGGAAAGAAAATGAGGGTTTGGTAATTTTTGTTGATTTAAAAGAGTAATTTGGTTTTGATATTGACAGTCCTATCCCCTCCCAATCTATTTGGGTCCTATTTTTCTGACTACCATTTTCTGAGTACATTCAATAAAAACTCAAACATGACAGAAACAATAAGAAAATAATAGCTCCTGAGGCCTTCCCAGGACGATGCTGACCTGGGACGGGCCTCTTCTTCCAGCTTGCTTTCTACCCCGTCCTTTTACCCTTACCCAGTGGAGCCATATTATTTTGCCATTTGTGTTTTTTTCATTTCTCTATACTTAATAATTTATCTTGGGCAATTTTCCAGCATTATTAAATCATGGTAGGAAACACTTTCTGCTTAAATCAGGATGATAACAGATTACCATTAATCTCCCCACCTCCCCCTCCCCACTCTAGGCCCCATCCTGCTCATGTCCCTCCGATTTGAATCCTGCAGATCTCTGACAGGCACGCTTTCCTTTTATGAGCAGGGCCTCACTATAGAAAGTGGTTTCTGATTTGGTGTGTCTCAGCAGAAAATGAAATTCATCTGGTATTCACTGAAGCCTTCTTAATTATTGCCACCAGGCATGTCTGGTAAAACTGGTTTGGTGGAAAGAAAACTGACCCAAGAAGGCAGAACCAGACTAGAATCTTCTAGCCTGGTTCTGCCTTTAACTAGGAGTCTCTAATCTGCCTGAGCTTGGTTTCCTTATCTATAAAATGTGGCATGGGGGTGGGGTAGTGTTGGATTGGGGGATCACCAAGGTGCCTTTTAAGCACTGAGTTTGATTCTTTTATAAGGAATATTTTGAAAAACTTGTTTGTACTCTTTCTCCAGTTATAGAGAACTTAACTTTTTTTCTTTCCCTGGGTACCTTTTGAACTTATATGTGCTTATTAATTAGTGGCGTCAAGATAGTTTATAATTGTACATTAGTTCTTTTCATCTGAGTGCTTACCCAATGCTTTACCCAATAGGTATAATTAACTTCATTTTATAGGCAGAGAAATGGAGACAGAGGGATTGTCCATGATCAGACGATGCTGACCACCATCAGAGTCTGAGCCTCCCATGGCAGTGTGATTGGCAGCTTTCAGAAACTTATGTAATGTTTCTAGCTGTTTATCAGGGCTATTTGATTTATCTTCTACAATGAACTAGTCTCTTATTTACATTATTGACTAAAAGCAAGAACTTTTTCTAAGTCAGCGTGGGCTCAGGATGTGTCCTGTGTTTTGTTGCCATCTGCTTTCAGATGGTGCTCGAGGAATTATCCCTCTCTTATTTGTTCATTCAAAAGCTATGAGTAGCAGTGCACACTACTCTCTCCCACAGGAGTACATACTGTAGGGGGATGTAGACGTGTCTGCACATTATTCCAGCCCAGGAGTGACGTGCCGAGGGGAGGTTGTATAAAGTGCTGTGAGCAACTGGGGAGTCCCAGCCACTGCTGTGGAAGCCAAGTTTGTCAGGGAATACTTCTTGAGATGTTGGCACCCACCTGTATCGAGTTGGAACTCCCCAGTGGACAGGGACAGGAAAGGAATTTGAGCAGAGAGAGAAGCACATGGCAGATGCATGAGCCATGGAGGAACAGGGCTGGAGTTGGGACTGGCATGTTCAGTGCACCTGAAGTGTGGACAAGGGCTGGGGTGACAGGCTGGCCACAGATAGCAGAGGCCCCTGCCCTGCCAAGGAGGACGAGCTCCATTTCATAGGGAGTGGGGAGCAAGGCTCTGCTGTCTCAGCCATGTCCATTTACTGCTGAGGTGCATGACTCCAGGATGCAAATCTGCAGATGGCTGCTAACTTTGGAATGGGTTACTCTAAGAATTTTCGGAAAGTTGTCATAACAAAGTGCTATTTTTATTTGATTTACTTGGATTCTTACACATGGTTTTTTTGCTTTGAACTATTACTATTGCCTGGTTTTGTGGGGTTTTTTGTTTTTGTTTTTGTTTTTTTGACAGGCCACAATTGCTGGTTTGGAAGGATCTGGTGATATCGTATCTGTTTCCTGCACAGAAAATGAAATATTTTTCTTAAAGGGAGATAGGAACATTATAAGAATTTCCAGCCAGCCTGAAGGACTAGCATCAACAGGTGTGTATTCATTATGAAATGTATTGTGTGTATGATGGGAAGTATTGCACTCTGTAGTATGTAATTGCAGCTTTATAAAATTTACCATTCTGCTAATTAAATTATTGTAGCTTTACTTACATAAGGAAATATTTGAAAGATTTCCTACGATTCTTAAAATAATGTATATGATACTTTTCTTGAAAGTTACCTACTTTAAGGTTGACATCAGACAGAGGCTCATGTTTGGTAGAGTTGTTTTCATGGGTATGGAAGAGGGGGAGGTTGGGTGAGTAGGAAGGAGAAATCGGAAACCACTTCACGGATCGCTGATACTCTCTGTGCGAGACATTATGTGGGATTAATGCTCCAAAAGACAGAAATTTGCATAAGGTTTAGAATATTTAAATCTGTTATCTGGGACATATCTTCTTTATAGGATTGATTTTTCTCTGTGCTTTTGCCCTTTTTTTTGTACTTTGTACAAGCCCAAATTTTAACGAACAAAGAATCTTAATATGCATTCTTGTGCACACATCTGTGGGACTTTACATATTTGGGGCACACCCGCACACTTATTCCTGATGGCGACCACAACCACTGTGCAGGTCCCTTCCTCATCCTCCCCCTTATCACTGTTACTTTCCCTTTTAAGTCATAGAGGCCAAGCAGGGATGAATATTCCAAAATCGTAATTTTTATAAGAAGTGACTAAGCTCTGACTCTTGAGCTTATAAGCTGGGGACTCCTGAAACAGAGTAATCAGGGGACAGGGTGGCTTTCAGAAAGAGTAGTAACTTGGAGCCATGAGGCTAAGCTGTAGGCCACTGCTGTCCAGTAGAGCTGATGAAAAGCTCTGTGTCTGCACAGTTTGGTGGATGGTCACTGTCCACGTGTGTCTAGTGGCTGCCATATTGGGCAGCACAATGCTAGACTAAGGTCTGCCATAAATTTGTGTAACACGTCACTTCAGAGTGGAGGCCTTCCTTGCCTTTCTCCAACGCTCACTCCATAGTCTACAGTCTGCCCCTAATGAATGACTCCCAGGCAAATGTAGTGCCACCAGGGCATGAATTCCTGTGTCCTATCAACTGCCCGTCCCAACACCTGGAACATCATCTGGAACACACTCGACATCAAGAGGATGGCTGAATGGATCAGAGGGGCTGCAATCTTGTGTTGAGGGAACTGTTCTGGCCCTGTGATGTTGTGGTGTTGTGTGGAGAGAGGGATGAGTCCACTGTGATGGGAAACACGCCGGCTCGTAGTCACAGAGATGCAGTGCAGGGACTCCCATTCCACTGCCTGATCCTCACCTTGCTCTCTATTTGCGTTGACCCTGACGTTGTTAATGTACTTCTCTGTCTTGTGTTTGTTCTAGTGGAAAATTACCTTTCCTTCTTGAATTTCAAGGAAGTTAATTACAGGTACCCATATATTTTTCAAATGCCCTTCGAGTAATATTAAAGTATATTCAAGGCATAGTCTAAGTATGAAGTATAACTAAACACTTTTTTTAGACCTAGGCATCTCTCCTTTACAAAATTTGTAAATTGAAGTGAGAAATGCTACATACTTAGTGGTATTCTCTTACTACTGAGTAATTTACAAGAGACATCTATGGTGAATTATTTTACTGATTTTGATTATGAGCTTCCTGAAGAAAAAAAACTGTTTCTTGGAGTCTTTTGTGTGATTCTTTCAGTTTTATGAGTTTCTGCGAATGTGAAATTGTTCAGTTCTCTAGCAGGCTGGAGTGTCAATTCCCTCTTTGATGGCTGGTGTTTAGGGCTAGCAAACCTGGATAAGTGCACAGCCACTTTTCTCACATAACCAGCAGTAAAACCAAGCTCTTCCTTCTCAGTGAGAGATGGTCTGGAGATGTCAGGATGTTCAGAGCGGGTCCACGTGCAGCACATGGAGAAGCCGCCGGGGGCCACAGTTTCTGAGACGAGGCTCAGAGGCTGTTCCGTGGCCAGCTCTGTGGCCAGCGAGCCAAGGAGCAGGAGCAGTTCACTCAACTCCACCGACAGTGGCTCTGGGCTGCTGCCACCCGGCCTCCAGCCAGTCCCTGAGTCAGGCAAGGGCAGCCAGTCCTCCTCGCAGAGATTCAGTGTCATCAGCTCGGAAGACTTTGACCAGGAGCTTGTTGTAAAACCTATCAAAGTGAAGAAGAAGAAGAAGAAGACAACGACAACAGGTACCATCTGTAGCAAGACACACTCACCTGTGCGGCTCACTGGGGGCTGACTGTATTTTACCAGACTCTTTGGGAACGCTGCATAGCTACCCTTGCTGGGAACATTGCCTCTCGCTCAGTGAGCACTTGCCTGCTCACTGAACAGCAGAGGTCTTCAGGAAGCAAATGTGTTCATTCCCCGAACGAGTTTTATTGTGACATATTCCACACATTACCCAGGAATCCATCTACACACACGCATGTGAAGCATTTCTGTGAGGTTTCAGTGATGATGTACACTCACCACACTGCTTAAAGGGTCTGGGTTTGTATTTTTCAATTTTTTTTTTTTTTTAAAGATGACCAGTAAGGGGATCTCAACCCTTGGCTTGGTGTTGTCAACACCACGCTCAACCAGTAAGCGAACCAGCCATCCCTATATAGGATCCGAACCCATGGCCTTGGTGTTATTAGCACCACACTCTCCCGAGTGAGCCACGGGCCAGCCCAACTTTTCAATATTTAAATAAAAATGTTTATCCATGCATACCATTTATTAGACCAGAGATTCTATGAATATGGGTGGAAAGTCATGGAAATAGGAAGATTTACACTGGGATATAGATGGGATATTTCACATTTAGTGTTGAATATGCTACCAAATATGGGATTTAACATGGAATTTTTTAAACTTTTTACTCGTTGGTGCCTATTAAGCCTCTCTAGCTAAAGATCACTGCAATATTGAAAGAAAACGTTACCAGATTCCTAAGCATTTTAATAATATTTAAAAATTAATCTGTGATCCAGCTGAACATTTCACTTTGTTCCTTTGTTTTTCTTAGTTAGCATTTCTTGAGTGAGGCCTCAGAGTTTTATATGGATACAAATAAGGATGATATTTGTATCCATATAAAACATCCCTGCATTGGGATAATTTGTACTTAAGAAGTTTATTCTTCATCAACTAAATATCCTTCATTTAAAATATTTTTTTCTTGAGCCAAAATTTTGTTTTTTAATTAGTTTCTGTTTATTTAGAGTCATACCTTATTTTTATTTTCTTTTTTTAAATTAGAAGGCAGAAGCAGGAATGCCTGTCACAATTCCCTGGAATCCACTCCCTGCTCCGAGTTGCCTGGTGACAGCCCCCAGTCCTTGAATACAGAGCTGCTGTCCGTGACCTCAAGTGTTCTGGGCAGTAGTGTAGACCAGCTGAGCACAGCACAATTCCCTGGAATCCACTCCCTGCTCCGAGTTGCCTGGTGACAGCCCCCAGTCCTTGAACACAGAGCTGCTGTCCGTGACCTCAAGTGTTCTGGGCAGTAGTGTAGACCAGCTGAGCACAAAGTCTCCAGACCAGGAAGGCAGCCTCAGTGGTGAGGTGAATGGTGTCTTGAAGGAAAATTATGACCCTGAAACATTTAGTGTCCTGGAGGTGCCTGAATCTTCCTCTGACTTACTGGATGAAGAGAATGACATTAGCACTAAAGTTCCACAGTGTAACCACGCGTGTGAGATGGAGCCACTCAGCCGAGTATTGAACTTACCCTTGCTCCTAGGGGAAGATGTGGAAGGTGGTGATGTCACAGGACTCGAAGAGGAGCCTTGGCTGATGGATGACGGTCCGAATAGCAAACAGTTACCCTTCCAAGAACAGGACAGCTGTGCTGAGGCACATGAGGTGGAGGACATGGACCCCAATGACCCCCAAAGCACTTTTTCTGAAGCCCCCCTCCTGGACCCACTCATGGTGCCGTCCAGCCTCAGCTGGGCCCCAAGAGCTGAGCCGTGGCTGCCTGGGACCAGAGCTGACACAGGCAGTGCCAGGGAAGCCAGCAAAGAGCAAGATGCCCTAACTGACGTGGGGGCCCCTGGCCACTTCAGCTTAAATCCCTGGCATACTGTGGCTAACACAGGTCAGAAAGAAATGTCTGCTTCTGAATGTGACTTGGGGAGTTGGGGAGAACAGTTGACTCTAGTCTCTGCCTTGGAGGCCAGCACCCACAAGCCATGGCTTGAACAGCCTTCACGGGATCAAGCACTGACTTCCAGCGATGAGGAGGACATCTATGCCCATGGGCTCCCTTCTTCATCCTCAGAGACAAGTGTGACAGAGCTCGGAGCTAGTCGCTCCCTGCAGGATCTGAGCCAGCCAGGTGCAGATGACACGGGGCTGCTCAAGTTGGATCAGGTATGTGGCCTCAGCCAGTGAGTGGGACGTGTATCTAGGGCTTCTTTCTTTCTGATGGGGAACTATTGGCAAGACTGACTATTTTCCTTCTGATGTAAAGAAATTATATTCTACCACAAAACCTGTAGGCCAAATACGTTTTGAAGTCTGAGTTTTGGGTAATTTCCTGCCCAGGGACCATGAATGGCTTGAATGACTTCTGACCTCTCATACCCTGCTCAGTAACCCACTTTCCCTACAGAAGCAAGATTTTTCTGGTTTTTCTGACCCAACAAGTCCAGGCCAGTGTAGGCACCTAGTGTTAGCCATCTCGGGGAAGGGCCAAATCAGCCTGGGGCCATCTCAGAAAACCAGTAGGCAGACGACTGTCTGCTCCTGGAGTGCAGAAACCACTGAGCAGGTTGGAGATGGAGACTCTCCTACCCTTCTCCTCAGGCAGACACCTCCAAGGAACTGTCAGCAAGGACTAGGGCTCTTTCCAGAACTGCTGTTTCCTCGACCTCCAAACAGTGGACCAAGGCTCCCTTGCAAGCTGCACAGGAACCAGGTTTGGGGAATCCAGTCTCTTGTGAATCCATGTAATTAGGAGATGATTATTAACTGTTCGTGGGCATTTTATATTTAAAAGTGATTTAATAAAAAGTGCTTACTTTCGGGCCGGCCCGTGGCTCACTCGGGAGAGTGCGGTGCTGATAACACCAAGGCCCCGGGTTCGGATCCCATATAGGGATGGCCGATTCGCTCACTGGCTGAGCATGGTGCTGACAACACCAAGTCAAGGGTTAAGATCCCCTTACCGGTCATCTTTTAAAAAAAAAAAAAAAAAAGTGCTTACTTTCCTTAGCAAGTAAGTATTATAGATGTATTTGGTTTCAAAACTGACCATATACTGTAAGGGTCCCTGCTAACTGCAGATGTGAGATGTGGATTATGACTGTGCATGTACAGCTGCGTGTGCCACCCTGGCGCACCCCTGGATTTGCAGTACTAATCGTGTGTGCCATTTGCTCAGCTGTCACTGAGTACAGGTACCATGCTAAGTAGCACTTCCCAAGTCTAACTCATTTACTTCTCTAAAAACAGAAACTATGAAATAGGTACTATTGTTGTCCCCATTTTACCAAGGAGGAAATCGAGGCTCAGAACAGTTAAATGGCTTGCACAAGGTCACATAGCAAGAGAAGGGCACAGTGGGCCCTTGGACCCCCGCTCTCATCCTCTGTGCTGTTGTGCCACAAAAGGGAAACAAATGTACTGCTAACTTGTTTTGAAATAAAATGCAGAAGGTTGGGCTCTTTTTTCACTCATCCTGCATTCATCTTTCAACCCTCTGGGTTCTTGAATGTCCTCACCTGTCAGGCTCTGTGATTGTGCTGGGGGCACCACAGTGCAAGTGGACCCTATCCTCGTGGGCCTCAGAGTCTCAGGGAGAGCCAGATATGTGTTCAGGTCATCACAGTTGCATGAAACTCTTTTCCACTCTGGTGGGAAACCAAACCAGAGTGGCCACCGATGACACATTAGCCTGGCAGGCGTGTCTGTGGGAGGACCAGAAATTTAGGAGAGCCCTTACTTTGGTGAGAGGGATCCTAGCACTTTGATGAAACCCCCTAAACTCCCCTCTTCCCCCATCCTTCTCCAGGTAGATGGAAAGCCAAGAAATTTTGTGGGGTTTTTTGGGTATAAGGCTTGCTGTGGTGGGCAGGGCCAGATTGAGAAGAGTTGGGAGGCATTCTCTCTGAAGTTAACTTCCTTATGTGGATATTTGTGTGAATATGCTGATTTCCTTAGCAGTTTTAGAAAATTGTTAAAGTACAAGGACTTTATTTTGCTCAAATTTTTTAAAGAATCCGAGCAACAAAACGTTAGTGTACACAATTCCATTAGAGTGTCTTGACCAAGCACCTACCAGCCTTTCCCACACGATATGCCATGTGTCCGATGGCTGAAACAGTGCTTGAAAAAATAAAATGGGGGAAAAAAATGGTAGTGCTGCTTCCCCTAAAGTATCTATGATGGTTAGACATACAACAAATCAATATGCATGCAGATGTTGAACACACCTCTGTGTAACGAGGTATACCTGTAGAATAACATCTGGTCCTTTTTGATGGGATGTAATGCTCTAAGCATTATGTTAGGAAGGATATTATAATATGGCAAAGCATTCTCCAGGGACGTTATGGGGTCTTCACAGGGGGACAGCAGCCTCCATTTCTGAATGTTTCTAATAGAGGGGGGTCCAAAGATAGCAGGGGAGGTCTCAGCATGTCTTCTCAAAGATCCTTTTAGCTGTATCATTTTAATGATATTCTGCTCACTTTTCTTGTTGACAGCAGTGGGACGAATGTGCTGAGTGCTCTGCCACAGATCTCACCCAGCTATGTTCTTGTTAGTTTGCAGAAAGCTGGATGGGCTACTCTGGCCCCGGCTATGGCATACTCAGCTTGGTGGTCTCCGAGAAGCATATTTGGTGCCTGGACTACAAAGGAGGCCTGTTCTGCAGTGCGTTGCCGGGTGCCGGGCTGCGCTGGCAGAAGTTTGAAGATGCTGTCCAGCAGGTGGCGGTCTCCCCCTCAGGTCAGCCTCTAGTCTCCCTGGCTCACCACTCCCAGGTGCAGATATCTTCGCAGCACACAGCTTCCCCCAGCAGCTTCAGGCTTACACTGCCCTGCATCAACACACTTGCTTTTTCCTGAAGCTTCCAGGGGATTTTCTCCAAAGAACGTGAATTGGTTCATTTGACATCAATTAATATTGTAAATGGGTGTTGAGTTTGAGTTTTTGCTTTTTTATTAATTGCCATGGAAACCCATGAACATATTTTTGTAAGCTATACAAATAGTTTGAATTTTAAGGGGTGATTTTTAGGAATATTAACATACACGCACACACAAATATAAACTCCTTACAAAAATAAAATGTGTTTCTCTTTCTCAGTTTTCCTTTAAAGCAACTGAAAACTAATGAAGCCAGGCCCATGGACATGTTGGCCATGTTCCAATTATTTGGCTTCCTTTTTAGAAATTCTTTTTTAATGAGCTATATGCTTTGCATGAACAGTCTACTCCTGGACTGTAAAAAGAAAGTCCATTCATTCTTTTGTACCATTATTAGGCCATTTTTAGTGAATTGGAGCAGATATTTCTTGAATGAGGTTTTACAAGGCTGAAATCTGTCCTTATCTGCGTGGAATCATTTGCTAGTTTAATTTTTCTTAATGTTGGCCACTTCTTTACCTGTTCAGGTGGTAGGGATTGGGGAAGGTACAGCAGGAACATTTATGTGTTTTTGTCTTGAAGTAACCAGGTTTATTGTTAGGATATTGGAACAGAAGTCAGACAAAGCTGCATCTGTGGCTATGGACCTGGCCTCTGTAGCTTTACTGTGCTTTGGGATGGATTTCTCTTCACTCTCCCTGGTCTTTGTCACTATTTAAAAGATTTGTTTGTTCAGTGTTGTTTTGCTTACTTCCTCATTGCTCGTTTGAAAAATATTTTTCCTTAGAGACTGTCTTAGATAATAACACACTACATTACTTGGCATTAAATAATTGAGCATTTTAATTCTTTTCCTGTTTCTGTCATTTACCTTGGGTTCATCTCCCCTGCCATTTAGAAACTTTGGTTCTTTCCTGATTATATTAATCACTTTGTATTTCAAAACCATTTGGTCCCTTATTGCTCTAGTTGGAACTCTCCACAAGATTAACTCTCCATAATCTTCACAAGATTAACGTTCTCAGCTGAGAAATCCTTCAGGGTCCATGTCTTTGGTGGGCTCCAGGGCCCTTGTGCCAGGTGGTGTTCAGGAATGCTCCTGGTGTGGCTGCCTGACAGACCCTCTAGTCCAGCCCAGCTGCACACTGGTGATTCCCTGGTGGCTCCTCACCTTTGCCCACGCTGGCCTGTGCCATACCCTCCATCTACAGAACCTTCCATCCTCCCTTCCTTTCCCCATCCCCTTCATCTGCACTCATCAGAATCCTTTTCTCAGTGAAAACAGGCCCACCCACCTCAAAGTACCCTTTTTGTGCATCTTTTCCATTTAGCTGGTCTAGAGTGATTCCTCCCTTTGAGTCCCTAGAGGACTTTTTCAACCTGTACTGGGGCACTAATGGTGCCTCATGTTTATTTGGATACTTATTAAATCTAATAACGCCGTCACTACTCCTTTTCCCGTGTGATAAGTGCCTGTGACGTGCCCAGCTGCATGTGTGTGTCATTGATCTGTTCTCACCTCCAGTCTTTAGAACAGCCCTGTAAGGTGGAGACAATCCCCATCTCACAGGTGAGGAAGGCGAGGTTCAGAGACATTCAGTGCATGGTGCCTGAAGCTGCGCCTCGGGTGGGTGGCAGCCAGGGGTTCAAGCCTCCACACAGTGAGGTGGAAGCAACAGGGTGTGTTTTAGAAATCTCTCCCCTACCACAGTGCCCAGAACACAGTTTTTTTATGTAGATAATTCTATTATTTATTAGACAATGAATAAAATTTTTATTTCAACAGGAGCCCTTCTCTGGAAGATTGAACAGAAATCTAATCGAGCTTTTGCTTGTGGAAAAGTTACCATCAAGGGCAAGCGGCACTGGTACGAAGCCCTTCCCCAGGCGGTGTTTGTGGCCCTGAGTGACGACACGGCCTGGATCATCAGGACAAATGGAGACCTGTACCTGCAGACAGGTGACTGAAGGCCACATGCAAGTGCCTGCCGGTTCTGGTCATTGCCTCTCACTGCATCCCGCTTTGTTAGTAACCTGCTTCGAATAATTACAACAATTAAGAGGCTAAAAATCAGTTTAAATTAAAACACTCTGCAGAGAGAGTATTTGCCACTTGGAATGTATTAGCAGTTTCTTGCTACTGACAAGAATTCAACCCAGGACAAATTTAGGGCAAGAATTAATAGGATTATTTAGTGAGATACAGTAACAGAATCTTATTCTCCTAATGGTGAAACACTTCATATCACTTGTCCTGCAGTACCACATCTTAAGAAGAAAGAATAACAGAGAAATGACATTCAAATCCTTTAAACTTAAGTGGTTGGATTTTTCTTCAGCCAGGTCAAGGCATAGCTCCTGTAGGCTTATTTACGTGTGGTTCAGGAAAAACAAGAAGTAATTTGCTCTAAATAGTAGTTCAGCTTATCCTAGGAAACTGCCCTCAGGGAAACTTTTAGCTGCTGTAAGCAGCACAATGGGACTTGTTTGTTAAAAATAAACTGTAATGAGAGTAACTGTTTATGTACTGTCAGCAAAATGGGAAATGATTCTCCAAAAGCAATGTAATTTATCAGTATTTTGGAAGGATTGTGGGGTAGGAGTTTCCTTTTGGTCATCAAGAGGCCATGTTGATCAATCTTCTAGACATTTAATATTGCTGATTCTGAGAAAATGTTTTAATCTCCGTTATGAACCATTGGCCAGGGACAGTTCTTGAGATTGAAAGCCCTTGTTCACCTGGCTCTCTCCCAGATGTCTAAGAGCTTGGAGCCCTGTGGGCAGCCTTGCCAGCTTCATGGTCCATGTGCTGGCCCTGGTCTCTGCTAGTGCCTGTGTCTTCCTTCAAGTGAAATAAATCTGGTGAGGCATGTGCATATCTAGCTTCCAAGAAATTGGAGTTTCGTTCATGGTGGGGAGAGAGGGTGCTGCTGGTCTGGGGGTGAGTAGAGGGTGACCTCTTAACCAGTCATGCCAGAGGAATCATCAGGGCAGTGGTTTCAGATGAGCCCGAACTTACCCAGACATACTGGGTCAGAGTCTTTGGGGATTGGCCCAAGAATTTGCAGTATAAGAAGTCCTGTAGGTGATTCCCACCTAGTTTAGTGCAAGGAAATAGAACCCAAGCAGTGCAATACCATAGGGTGCTTTTGTATTAGTTGGGGAGCAAATTTAAGTACTAAGACCCAATTAGAAGCTAAGGTCATGGAATAATTGGGTTTTAGGTGACAGCCGTTCTCCCAACTCCCCTAGGTAGTGAGTAGCCTTTGATCTCATTTAGACACATTTTACTGACAGGCCACAAGGAGGCAAAGGAAAGAGCCCTTGGCAGGGAGTCAGGGACCCTGGACTCTGGCCTTGCCACAGTCTTGCGTTGGGATGGACCTCAGATTTCATCTTGGAAATTAGGGGTTTTCATTTTAGCAGTGGATCCCCGTCCCAGGTAAAAGCAGAGGGGAGGGTAGCCACTCTGTTGGAGCTGCCTGCAGAGGATGGCTGCAAGCCTCAGATCCCTGAGGCTGCAGCAGCAGCTGAAGCCCCTGAGCTCTCCCAGGCTCTGAGCACAGCCGCGATGCGCCAAAGGTCGTCTCTGAAGTCCAGGCTGCTCTCGGCCCTGCGTCCTCCTGGCTCCGGGTCTGGCTGCTCTCTTGCTCTTGGCTTTCATGTTTGTCATTCAGAACTTCTTAAGCCACTTTGGAACACCAGAGAATGCTGAATTGTTATTCCTTCAGTTTGTAAAGAGTATCTAAAACTGCTTCAGATAGATGTTGTATTTAAGTAGAATTTAACCATTTTATGTTGATAAACTTTAAAAAAATAAAGCACTCATTATGAAAGAACATAGCAAAATGCCAAAAAAAGAGAAAAGAAGAAGAAACAACAGTTAAAATTTGGTATGAAGTTGTGATTGTGTGTCTCTGGGGGCTTCCTCCCATCTCCTGACAGGTCTCAGCGTGGATCGCCCGTGTGCCCGAGCTGTGAAGGTCGACTGCCCATACCCACTGTCCCAGATCACAGCTCGAAACAGCGTGGTATGGGCACTGACGGAACAGAGGGCCCTCCTGTACCGGGAGGGTGTGAGCAGCTTCTGTCCAGAAGGGGAGCAGTGGAAGTGTGACATCGTCAGGTAGCAACTGGGGGCAAAGACTTCTGGCTTCTTGTTTGTTCCGCCCTTCGTTCTGGTCAGCTTGATTCTCTATGAGGCACCCACATGAGCCTTTTCTGGGCAAAGCCAGAACCCTGGAGGTTTCATGTAATAGTGTTCTCTTGAATTGCCAGAGCCAATTTCAGCAGTCTGATCATGGAGACACTCTGTGCCTACCTCTGACTGGCACAGTGGGCGTTGGGTCAGAGCTCCATTTAAGCAGATGCTGCTGCCCTCTGTATAACCCGGAGCATCATAGAGCTGTGAATCACTCATGACAACCTCTGTTCAGAACTGCCCACTGTCAGATAGTTTCTGTTTAAAGGCTCTGCTGGCTTAGGTCCAAATATTTTTCTTTATTTTTATCCTAGTCAATTGAAATTGATCTCTGAACTGTAATTTATTAGGTTACTTTTTACCATTCAAGATTTTAGTTACAGAATTACTATCAAATCATTTTGTTAATGTGGAAGTATTAATAGTACTTAGAAAAATTAAATTAGGATATTCTTAGGTTGAATTTACCTGGTGCTGATCATAATCCCAAAAAACACAGTCCAAATGCCAAAATCCTGAAATGTTGAAATCCCGAAGGATCAAAATTTCAAAAGATCCAAATCCTGAAAATATAATTCTGGAAAATATAATTTAAAATTCTTTAAATGACATTTATTTGCATTTTTAAAAGGGGATTTATTTGAGAAACATAAAAACATGATAGAACACTTTTTATGGATTGAATTGTGTCCCTCCAACAGTTTAATATGTTGGAGGTTTGGTCCCCACTGTTACAGTGTTAAGAGGGTGGGAAGTCCTATTATGGTCATTGAAAGCCAGGACTTTGAAGAGGTGATTAGATTGTAGGACCATGAGGTAGTGAATGGATTAATACTGGTGGTCAGGGGCATGGTTCTGAGGGCTTTATAGCCCCTCATATTCCACAACTGTGAGAGCCCACGAAGAGTCTCTGCTCTGCCATTTTCTGCCATGTAAGACCCCTGGGTCACTGTTGCCACAACCAAGACCCTCACGAGATGTGTTCCCTGGACTTTGGACTTCCCAGCCTCTGAAACTGTAAGCAATAAATTTTGTTTTGCTTATGAATCATCCAGTTCCAGTTATTTTGTTATAAGAAACAGAAACAGACTGATAAAACTTGACAGGCCACTTTACACAATAAAATAGGCAATAATGATATACATATTTTTGCAAGCATAAACACTTGGGTATACTAACAACAGTTGCAGTGGTATACCAGTTATGAGCAGACAAACTGTATTCAAAGAAATATGAGGGTACCTGAAAAAGTTCTTGGAGAGATGGAATTGAAAGACAATAGGAATCTTTCTTTCTTTTTCTTTTTCTTTTTTTTTTTTAAAGACGACCGGTAAGGGGATCTTAGCCCTTGACTTGGTGTTATCAGCACCACGCTCACCCATTGAGCTAACCGGCCATCCCTATACGGGATCCAAACCCGCAGCCTTGGTGTTATCAGTACCACACTCTCCCGAGTGAACCACAGGCCGGCCCACAATAGGAATCTTTCAATGAACTTTTGAAAGACCTCTCATTAAGTCAAAAAATGAAATGTATAAATGCATATCACTGTGGTTGGTAATTGTGCATACCCAGCTTTGTAACTATGGTCACCTGAAATAACGTGACAGACAGCCTCAGTCTTTTGACAAAATTGATCAAAAACTTCTGTGGGTCACCACCACATATGCAGTCACCCAGAGAGCCAAGGTATTGAGAAATACTATCTTTCACAAATGCAGATGTACAAAAAAGAATATCCTTCCCCAGGATTCGCTTTCAGGATTCCAACATTCAGGATTTTAATCTTTCAGGATTGTGATTTTCGACATTAGGGATTTTGATCTTTTGGGATTTCGACATTTGGGATTATGGCTTTGTGAATTATGTGTTTTGGGATTATGGCCCATGCCGCAGAGGTCAGGAAGACAGCATGCAGCACAGACCTGCGGCTAAGCCCCAAAGCTGACACGGGCTTCCCCAGCTGGAAGGAGGGGACAAGCACTGCCAGCAGAGAAGGCAGTGTCTGCCCAGGGACAGCTGCACAACACAGCCTAGCATGTTGGGTGAGTTTGCTATCACTTACTTGGTGAAGGAGGGAGTAGAGAAATGGAGGTACTCATAGGCCTTGGATTCCTTATGTCCCACTCACTTTTTTCTCAGGTTATTTTCTCTCGAGAGCTTTCTCCACTCACTATTCTGGGTTTTTGGTACATCTTTCAGAGGCTACCATGCATCTGAACAGTTCATATTGCACGGTAATTGAACTCAAACTCAAACTTCCTTCCTTGGCACTTGATGATCCGGGGGCACATTTCTTCTCCCACACCAAGCCCACTAGGCGGCAGTCCTAACACGTGGGTGCTGTGTGTGTGGATGCTGACTCCCATGTTCTCTTCCTCGTTTTCAGTGAAAGGCAAGCTTTAGAACCTGTTTGCATAACTCTCGGGGATCAGCAGACCCTCTGGGCACTGGACGTCCGTGGAAACTTGTGGTTCAGAACTGGCATTGTTTCCAAGAAGCCCCAAGGAGATGATGACCATTGGTGGCAAGTAGGTGTTCTGCTCTGAGGTCATGTGCCAGGGGTCTCCCTGACTTCGGGATTCTGCTTCCTTTTTTCTAACTGCACTCTTTTCCTTAAAGAGATTAGACTCAGTTAATAGTATTCACTTTTACTCTTGGATGGATTAGACTTTCCTGTGTTTGAAAGATCAAGGACTTTTCATCGTAGCAAATAATTTGCAAAACTTTTTATTTTTATTTTTTATTTTTATTGAATTATAATTGATTATACATATTTGGGGGGTTCAACGTTGACATATGTTGATCACATCAATATTACTAGTATATTTATTGTTACAAATTGTACTTATTCTTTATGCCCCTTGTCAAATCTCTACCTATCCCATGTCTCCCCCCTCCCACCACTGATAACCCTAGATGTCTTCTTTCCCTCTGAAAGAGTAATGGTTACTCTGTTGATTTGTTGCCTAGATGATCTGTACAATGCTGAGAGGTATGTTCAGGTCCACCAGTATTATCATAGAGCAGATGCTTCTTCTGTCACTCTGGAATGGGCTTTGTGGAGAGAGACATCCTCTTCTTTTCTTTGGTCTCTGCTGGTGACTCTCCTTGTGTCAAGGCACTCCAGTGGCTGGTGGACCATCTGCGTGGTAGTTGTGACGTCTAGCCACTTTTGCGGCAGCCATAGTTACTGTGGTGGGCCACCCACATGGAGGTGATGTTTATGGCATGCTCCTCGGCACTGGCTGTGTGCCTGGTTATGGGAGGGGGGTCTGGTCCCTGGCTCCATACCTCAGGTCCCCAGGTGGGCCCCTAGGTGCTGGCACTGCGCCTGGGCCAGAACTAATTTTTGTCCTTTGCTTACTTCTAAAGTGGGGGAACTTCCTGTGGGAACCAGTACTTGAGCTCTGTGGTTGAGCTAAATTGTTGCTTTGCTGCTGTTTCCCTAGGGAAGGCTTTTTGTGCAGCTCAGGATTTAATGGTTGACCTTATAAGTACTTCTGGCTCTCCAGAGACCTGGTGCACCTGGGTTATGAAGAAACTCTGATCTGGGCTTGAGTCTTTTCATCAAACTGCACCCCATGCAATTCTATATTCCTGACCAGTCTCCTCTGAGTGGTCCTGTGCTGATTGGGGGACAGATCAGCTGTCCTTGCTGTGCCCCAGTGTTCCCCCGGTGGGCCCGCCTCTCCCACCACCTGTGCTCCAAACACTTCCCATGGGATGGGCCATGTGCCAGTCCCTTGCGATGATTCACTGGCCTCTGACTACCTCCTTTTTTTCAGTTGTTGTGGCTCCTCGCTCCTGTGTGGGTCCACAGGAACCCTATTAATGGTCTTGCTGTCCTGAGGGCTACCAAGGCCCTCTTTTCCCCTGCCACCTCCAAGCAACTCCATCCAAAGGGCACAGCTGCGGCTTTTGCTGGCTCCTGCTCTGTGCGCTCAGCAGCTCCAGCCTTAAAGCAGCCGCAGCATGAAATACTTTGAGCAGTGTTTTCTTTCTCTCATCGTGGTTTCTCTCACCTTCATGAACTTTAACCCTTGACTTGGTGTTGTCAGCAGCACAGTCTCCCGAGTGAGCCATGGGCCGGCCCCTAATGCACAGTTATTTTAAATACTATAAGATTGGTTTCTTTGTAGTGCTAGGACCAACATTATGTTTGGCTGCTGAACCTTTCTTTTCTTCCTTTCTTTTAATTTGCATCCTGCTTATCTGCCATGTCTTGGGTGCTAGGACTGAGCCTGTCACAGACTTTGCGTGTGGTTTGGCAGAGTCACTGCTTCCCCAGTGAGATGAGTGTTGTACACAGCATATATCCCAAGGAAGTGCAGAGCTCCCTGAGCTGTCCGTCACATGGTGGGCAGCGCCCGCTGGAATCCCCAGAGCTCTTTTCCAGCCCAGCCAGGCTGGCAGATAGCTCACTGCAGTGGGAAGCGTGGCTGCAGGCTCTGCAGCAGTGCCTCAGCTTCAATCAGGTCAGTGGGGCCCGATCACGGACGAGAAAGGGCAGTGTCTGTACATTAATAAAGTACTGACTTTTATAGCGACTTCCTTTTTGTTTTTGTTTCTTGTAAATTAAGTTCCCTGTAATAAGTGGTGTCACTTTCACTCAACATTTCATTGCATGTGGCCTGGGAATATGGCCTGCACCAGGCTGTCCTAGGAGTAGGGTGTTTGTGCTAGTGATGCTCTCTATAATCAAACCCTGCTGTACAAAAATACGAGCGAAAGCCATGTGGAATCAGTTCTTGACTCATCTTATAAAGAACTTTCTTACAATCAGAGCTGCCCAGCAAGGGAGAAATTTCCCTCAGAGGGAGGTGATTGCCCTGGAGAAATGTCTATGAAAGGGTTTATACAGATGATTTTCAGGAATGTTACAGTGGCGAGTCACGCATCTGAACCAGGGTGGATTCTAGGTGCCCAGGACAGTCCTGGTTTATGCCGTTAGCCTGGCATGATTATTAGTAGTCCCAGTTTATTTATTTATTTTTTTCTAAAAGATGACCGGTACGGGGATCTTAACCCTTGACTTGGTGTTGTCAGCACCACGCTCACCCAGTGAGCTAACCAGCCATCCCTATATGGGATCCGAACCCATGGCCTTGGTGTTATTAGCACCACACTCTCCCGAGTGAGCCACAGGCCGGCCCCAGTAGTCCCAGTTTAGACCATAAATTAGTTCATCACCTTACTTATAATATCTTTTTAAACTCATTTTATGATTCCAAGTATTGTACACTGTTGACCATTGAAAATACCTGAATTTAAAATCAAAGTTATTTTTTCTCACTGATTAGAATAAGTCTTCTGAGAAGGGGTGTGAGAGGATAATATTTAACCACAAAAATAATACATGCCTGTTGTAACAGATTCTTTTTTTTTTTTTTGTCCTTTTTGAGACCGGCCGCACCGCGCTCAGCCAGTGAGCGCTGTGAGTGCACCGGTCATCCCTATATAGGATCTGAACCCGCGCGGCGGGAGCACTGCTGCGCTCCCAGCACCGCACTCTCCCGAGTGTGCCACGAGCTTGGCCCCGGATTCTTGTAACATAAGAGTGTAAAATAAAATGTGAACATTTTCTTCCACCCTTCCTTTTTTTTTTCTTTTTTTTTTGGGTGGGGGGGATCCGAACCTGTAACCTTAGTGGTTTAAGGCTGGAATCTAACGAGCTGAGCTAACCAGCCAGCCCTCTTCCACCCCTTCATTCCATCCTCAGAAGTAGTTATAGTTGGAGTTGGTGGGATCCCACTACACTTTTTTTTTTGTACTCTGACAAACACACACACGTGTGTGTTTGGGTGCTTAGTCATCTTGTTACTAAAAATTCACAAATGTGGACGTGGGCCAGTAGCCTCCCTGGGAGACAGAGAGCAGGCCTTGGAACTGCGCTGATGGCAGGGTTTTGCTCCTCTGCTCCCTCCAGGTGAGCATCACAGACTATGTGGTGTTCGACCAGTGCAGCTTATTCCAGACAATAATCCATGCCACACACTCAGTGGCCACAGCAGCCCAAGCACCCGTAGAAAAGGTGGCGGATAAACTTCGAATGGCATTTTGGTCTCAGCAGCTGCAGTGCCAGCCAAGCCTTCTCGGGGTCAATAACAGTGGTGTCTGGATCTCCTCAGGCAAGAATGAATTCCACGTGGCTAAAGGAAGTCTCATAGGTGGGTGAATTACTTTTGTTTTCACATTGGCTTTATAGATAGCTTCACTTCAAGGCCAACCTTTAAAGAAAAGCTTTAAGATCTCAATTTGAAAAGATAATTCAGTGCCAGTGCTATGAAGTGTCGTAATGAAGGCACTCTGCCTTGTGATCGGGTTTTTCTTTTTTTTTTTTAAATCTGATCGTTCCCGTGTGATCGCTTTCCCCTGGAAACCTATTATGACATAAGAAAAGTAAATGGAGCTCATTGTTATGTTAATAATTTCACATTTAAATGAAAAAAATCCACCTAAATGTAAAGAGCCTAGTGAGAGAGAACAGTTCATTTCCTAAAGGGAAAATTATTGCCGCTGTTGAAACGGGGAGGCTGCTGCCAGATGTGTGAATGTAGGTGTAAGTGCACGGGGACGGGGTTCATTCCTGTGAGTGACCCCTGCTGTGTGAATGTTCTCCAGCTCTCTCCTCCCCCATCCCTGGGCAAGACATGGCCCTGCTTGATGTGGCCAGGAAGAAATGAATGGCTCCTACTGCTTCACATGAGGACACTCTAGAATTAGCTGTGAAGGTTTTGAAGGCCAGCTGCACTCTAGAACTAACACTCTCAAGTGTTTTTGTTTTGGCTTTTTTCTTTCTTTAACACATTCTTCCTATTTATTCTTTCCAGGCACTTACTGGAATAATGTTGTTCCCCGTGGGACAGCTTCCGCAACAAAGTGGGCCTTCGTGTTGGCTTCCGCTGCCCCCACAAAGGAAGGTTGGTCAGTCTTAGGCTGGTTGAGAAATCTGGTGCATGGGTTGGCAGTTGAAACAGTTCAGACCACAGTCTAGTTGGTGATGGGCACAGCTGTGTGGACCTCTATGACACAAGTCGGTGTGCTGTCATGGGCCTGTAGCCCTTGTTAACTGAGCCAAGGGCCCTGCAGCTGGACAAGCCTGACTGAGAGGGATCTGGTGGGGTGAAGCTGACGGAGTATGAAGGCAAAGCGTCCCTTGAAGGAGGGACCATACAGTGTGGCCATGAGGGCAGACAGCGGGGGACTTCCAGCAGCACATCGCTGGGGCCACAGTTTCTTTGAGTGCCTTCCTATTTCCCCTTGTGAATTCTTCTGTCACCTCCTGCAGTCTCTGTCTGTCTTGTTTACACCTCTGGCTAACCTCAGTCCCTCATTTGTACCCCCATTAAGGCAGACCGTCCCTGCAGGGGCATGGCTCCTGCTGACTTGTGCTCTGCACAGAGCTCACAGTCCTCAGAGAGGGCATTTGCAGTCAGGAGAGGAGGTACCACTACCCCATTAGCTGGGAGCCCCAGGCAGTTAGGTGACCTCTCTGAGAAGTAGTGTAGCCTCCTCCCAGAATTGCTCTGAGGATAAAATGAGAAGACACCATGACGTCTGTGGTTAAGAGGAAGCAGTTTGGTCAGTTCAAGCCATTAGTCCCATTAGGATAGGGGTGACTTGGTCAGTACTATAAACGCTTACTCTCCAGATTGTTCTGACCAGAATTCTGAAATCTCTGAAAATAGAAAGCTGTTTCCTGGGTTTGGCACAAATTCATCTGGCAATGAAACCTGACCTGAACAGATATAAGGCTACTTACCGTCTGTATTTATCCTGTTGATCATGACTGTGCATACATGTTGCTGCAGGAATATTATTTCACCTCCCTGGTGGGAGCTGCCTGGTTCCTCTGTGGCCATTAGCATAAGTACATGGCATGCCCATTGCCTTCAGTTTTCAAAGTCTAAAAAAAAAGTTGAATTCCAAAACATATCTGGCCACAAGTTTAGGTGATACTTTAGATAATATACTGTGACCAAGGTTACTTCCCCAAGGATTTTTTTCATTATAAACAGAATGTATTAAAACTAAAGGACTCTACAAAAATGGTAGAGGGAATAAAAGGATGTAATATTGAGGTGAGGAGAAAACAGGATTTCTACTTTTCAAGCCTTCTCCAGTAGCCTGCCCACCCCCAGCACAATTACCAAAACAGAAAAAGCACCTTGGGGCTGTCCTTCCAAGGAATTGCTGACCCTTAATCTTTTCCTCTTGGTGATATTTAACATTCTGTATTAAAAATGGTCAGATGCCTTTTCAACTTAAAGACTTCCTATCCCATTCTAAATGGGAGGCCAGAGCTGCTAAACCCACATAATAGCCTTTCTTCCCATTTCTTTATAATATCATGGGCTTGTTTCTTGTTAACTGGCTAGTCATGGTGTTTCCCTCTGCCTTCTAACTTAAAGTACATGGAACACTCCTGCCACTATGGCTGTGGGCAAGTGAGGGCCAGGTGTCAGGTGTCTCTTGAAGGTGGAGGCTGCCTTGTGCGTTTAGGGCGGGTGGCTTGGTGCAGACAGCACATCGATGACATATTCAAACCTTTTCCACAGGAAGCTCCTTGTGGCTGTGCCAGAGCAGCAAGGACCTGTGCAGTGTCAGCGCCCAGAGTGCACAGTCCCGCCCCTCTACAGTGCAGCTGCCTCCTGACACTGAGATGAGGGCCTATGCCGCCTGCCAGGATGCGCTGTGGGCCTTGGACAGCCTCGGCCAGGTGTTTATCAGGACACTCTCCAAGAGCTGCCCAACGGGCATGCACTGGACCAGGCTGGACCTTTCCCAACTAGGTATGGCCGTCTTGGGAGAGCATTTGCCAGCAACCTGACTGCCTGATTGCACTTGAGGATATAACCTCAGGCAAGAGTGCCTAGGGCCCGTGTTCAACTTGTGTGATTTCTTAGATGTTGATTGTAGTTGCTGGATTTCAGGAGACCGGTTGCCCCTCCTCCAGATTAAATGGACCTCTTAGTTTTGTAAGGAGCTTCACTCCCTGGCCCCTTACAGTGTGTGGGGTTTGCAGATCCGGAGGAGGGAGCATTTACTCAGATACAGTTGCCACTAAGAACTGCTTAAAATCATACTGTTGATGGGCGTAACTGCCTCTGCCACTGTCTGAATTTGGGACATAGCCTGTGACCTTTAAGTCTGAAGAAATGGGTGTGCTCTACAACAGGACCAGTGCACGTGTATCTAAGTGTGCTTTGCACAGCACGTGTGGGTGTCAGTCCCCTTTGGCCAGATGGAGGTGCTGTGTGTCCCCTCACTGCTGCTTCACTCTGCATCTCCCCTCAGGAGTTAGAGTAGACTGAGGAGTATGGTGCCATTTATAAATAATTCATTCACACTCTGAGAAATAATCAAATAAGCCCACACATTAGATTATTCCCTGAGTAAATTCTTGATTGACGGGGCAGCTTAAGTATGGTTTGTCTGAAGGTGAGGGCTGTACCTGAGGGTCCCCAGGGTCGGGGTGAGCCTTGACCTTTCAGTAGTACTGTGCATTTTTGTAATCTGACAACCAGTATTTCGTTATGTGGTAGACTTGAATTGTATAAGATTTAATGTTCGAGAACTCAACCACATGTACTCACAAAAAAAAACCAGAGGAGGACAGATCATCTCCCTTCTCTCCCAGCCCCTGGCCCCTCCAGGCATCTGTGGACTCGGCTGCCAGGGGCCTCTCACCTTCCTGTAAAGTAGGCCTTGCCGTGCGCAAGCCTACACAGGCCGGTGGCGGGTGCAGCTGCTCTCAGCCTGCGGGGCTCCTACAGGGTGTGGGGAGAGAGATCACTCTGTTGTCCAACAGGCCCCTGAACGTAACCAAGCTCACCTAAAGAAGCAAGCTCTGTTCTGAAGATTTCCCTGGATTTTCCAGGATAATTTTGATTATATATGCTTTGGGCCGCATACCCTGCCTTTTGGCCCTCTTGGTCACCTTCTGGCTTTTCGAGAGCATTTGCCAGCCTGTTACTGACAGTGACTGCCCAGATGAGACTGAGGCTGAGAGTGGCCTGAACGCTGGTGTTGGGTGACCCTGCCACCTGCCCTGGGAGACCTTTCATTGGTAAAGAGACCTTGCTGGCCAAGAGCCTTTCTCCGGCAGCCCCCATCCAGACCAGTTGGGAGGTGCTGTTAGTTCTTCCTGGGGGTAAGAAGGCCAGGCATGGTGTGTGTTCTCCCACTGCTAAGTCTCTACAACTGTGGGAGGCCATGCTCATTTGCATGATGTGGATCCAAAGCCCAGCTGTTTCCCAGGCACCACTCCCTCCCTCCAAGGGGGCCATCGCACTGCAGTGAGGTGCAGAGTGAGTTCCATACGGCTGGAGCAACTCTGCCTGGACCTCCCATCTCCCACCCAGCTGATGCCACCCCCCTGGCTGAATCTCGCCCTCCCGGCTCAATCTCGCCCTCCTGGCACTGGCCGCAGGCTGGAGCCTTGCAGGTCTCTGAGTTGTGTGTTTGGGCTTCACTGGGGAGGTGGCAGTTCTTTGTAGGGTAAAACCCAGCTTTGGTGGGATTGAGTCTCAACAAAAGAGCAAGTGGACACAGGAACAATGCCACTGAGTTTGATGTGTGTATTGGCCCTACAGTGCTCAGAAGGTGCTTGTCCAGGGCACGGGCACACAAGCAGAGGGTCGGCCTGGGCATCCTGGTCACCATGGAACAGCAGGTTTTCACAGAGCCCCCACCTCCTGCCTGAAGAGTAGTTAGCAAATCAAATGCCTGTGTCTAGCCAAGCCTGAAGTGGCTCACACAGGCAATGAGTGCAAGGTGGTCACAGGCAGAGGAGCAGGGACTTGTGGCTGTGGCAGGACAGAGTGGTAGAAGCAGTGCCGGCTGCATGCTGAGAACTGGAACCCAGGCAGGCTTCTGGGACCCTCAGTGAGCTGCCCATTACCTTTAACCTCAGTTTTCTCACCTTCCTAGAAGGAATAGTTCCCACCCCCAGAAGATACAAATAGCATCCTGTCTATATATAATCTGCCTCCGGCAGGTGTGACATGTCCTGCTTGGGGCCACTCTCTAGCCATTGGAGCCGCATGACCCTCAGACTTGTGGGAAAGGCTTTCTCAGATGGCCCCAGTGTGCACCACAGGGAGGACAATTCCAGCATCACTGTCAAAGCACCGCCTTTCTTACTCTTTATCCTGCTCTGAGCTTTAGATGTTGTTCGTTTATCTGGGTTATCTGACCGATACTGAAAGGATGGACAGAGACTCCTTTCCCCATTTTCTAAGCATTCTGATAGAAGGCAGCAAATCCAGAATTGGTAGCCTCTGTGTTGGGGCCAGGGAGGTGGGCAGGGCACAGTGGGAAAGCTGCTGGCTTTCGCTGTGCCTAGGTGGCAGGCAGTGAACGAACAGCAGGCCAGGGGCACCAGGTGTCCGTTATTGGGCTCTCTCCAGGTGTGGTCCGTGTAGCCTGTGAGACAAGCAGGTGGATCAAGACTGTTTTTTAGGTAATTATTTAAGTTAGGGATTACAGATTTTGAGTGTAGGTGTGTGCTGTCTGCCCAGGACCCTGTGTGTGACCATCATGGCAGGCTGCCATTAGGCAGCACACATTGATAGTTATGAATATAAAGTAGAGTTATCTGGCTAGCATGAATGCTGCCTGTATTACTTATCTGAGATTAATTGGGGTGCTTAAGTGTCCTTTTAAAAGTCGACAGTGGGGGGTACTCAAAGCAATGAATGGATGCACAGCCTTCTCAAAACCATGACTCTGCATTTGAGGATTTTGTTCGATATCAAATGTATCCTTCCCCACCATGCTCCTTTTCCTGACTTCATTTGTCTGTTCCCACTAAATTCTGTTGGAAAGGGCAGAGTCTTCTTTGGCAGTTTCTGCTTCTCTATTGGCCATTGCAGTCAGTGGTGTCCCTTCCACATACCCCATAAGGTCCCCATGCTTTCTGGTCCTCTCCTTCCTTCCCAACACAGCCAGAGTTGGAGCTCCTCCTCACGTACCTGCACTACTGCTGTAGCCGCCAGGTGTGCCCATCTCCCACGATGGTCGACAGAGCTATCTTCCTACAGCACAGCTCAGGTGGTGTTACCCTCCATGTTAAACAGGTCCGAATCGCTGCTAGAATAAAGCTCCAGGCTTTGGTATCGCGCCCAGGGCCTCGCATACCGGCCCGCCCACCTTTACCAGCCTCAGCGCAGCTGGGCTCCGGCTGCCTCTGCTGTTGCTCCAGCCCTTGCCCTTCCCTGATATGCATGTCCATGCCCGCAGTTTGCTTCTCTCCCCAGGGTCTAGAATTGGCTTCCCTGGGCTTTTTCTTTCTCAGCCTTCTTCCTTCAGGACTCAGCTGAGATTGCCACCTCCCCCGGCACTTTCTTCAATCATATCCTATCGTCAGTCTTTTCCATTGTGTTCCCTGAGCATGCCACTCCCACCTCTCATGCAGCTGTCAGCTCGCTTTGATTCATTTTATTGTCATTAGATGTTACACACAGAGGGTGTAGGGGCTTTGCAGGCGGGGACCAAACACTTGATCACAGTACTTGCCCAATAGGGTTTTAAGATGTCAGGAAAAGTTGGTATTATTTGCAGCTCCATTTCTAAGTAACTCTGGGGTATATGTGTTTTGGTCCTATCTGTGGCCTCATTACTGTCAATTAAAAATAAAACTGCCTACCATACAGGTACAAGATGCCACCACACTCGTTAGTCCAGTGCGTAGCATGACGCCCACACTCTTGGGAACTGTCTCAATTCTTGCTCCAAGTTGCCATCAGCCTGCCCAGGCCTGAGCAGGAGGAGATGTCTGGTCTATAAATGCTGTTCAGAGATCTATTTACATGGGTTCTTCTCTTCTGTCCTGGTCTTTTCTTTACGAGCGTCCTGACATTGAAAACATAAAAACCAAAAGCCTGTATTCCTGGTGGTATAAGAAGTAGCAAGTAGCACAGTGTGATCTATGCCACCTCAGGGACAGTGTTGACCTTGGGCAGCACGAAGTCATTGTGAGGTCTGGGCTGTCGTCAGCCTTCTCTAAATTGTGAGCAGAAATCTCAGTTTCAGGCTGAAGACAGCATATGCTTAGCTGATAGTAAGCCTCTGCCTCACCAGAATGTAACTAACCATGTGGGTAAAGCAGTGGAGGACTGCATGAGGGCCATCATTGGGGTGTTGCTCAATTTAACTAATGATAATGAGTGGGGCAGCACCAAAACAGGAGAACAAGATGGCCTCATAGGCACAGCACTGAACTGTGTGCTTCAGGTTCCAAAGTACCTACCTCAGGAGCAGAGATTTGATATTCGAGTGCTGGGCTTAGGTCTACTGATAAATCTAGTGGAGTACAGTGCTCGGAATCGGCACTGTCTTGTCAACATGGAAACGTCGTGTTCTTTTGATTCTTCCTTCTGTAGTGGAGGAGGAGATGCTAGTTTGAGGATAGCCAGACAAGTTCATGCTGTTCAGGCTTTAGTGCAGCTATTCCTTGAGCGAGAGCGAGCAGCCCAGTTGGCAGAAAGTAAAACAGATGAGTTGATCAAAGATGCTCCCACCACTCAGCATGATAAGAGTGGAGAGTGGCAAGAAACAAGTGGAGAAATACAGTGGGTGTCAACTGAAAAGACCGTTGATTTTATGGGGCTTGTATTGTTTGACATACTGTTATTCTTTATTTAAACATTCTCAGCCCTTCAGCATGCTGGCAAACACATGGAGGATTGCATTGTGGCCTCCTACACGGCACTGCTTCTCGGATGTCTCTGCCAGGAAAGTCCAATCAATGTAACTACTGTGCGGGAATATCTGCCAGAAGGAGACTTTTCAATAATGACAGAGATGCTCAAAAAATTCCTGAGCTTTATGAATCTTACTTGTGCTGTTGGAACAACAGGCCAGAAATCTATCTCTAGAGTGATTGAATATTTGGAACATTGCTAGCTGCTTTACCTTTGCTTCAGGTGCTCGGTAATGCTGGAGCTCTCCTTAAACAAAGAAAAGTAATGAAAGAAGTCCTTGAAGATATACCAAGAACATTCATCAGTATCATTCGTGTTTGGATTTTTAAGACCACCCGATTTCTTCGTCATGCATTCTGCATTTGCTAAATGACAGTTACTACATCAATCTGCAACTATCAAAAATGAGGGAAAAGGTTCAGGCTGTTAACCATTCCATGCAGTATTTAAGTACATTTACTTTGGCAGAGTTTATACCCTCCCCTTGTTTACTTGCTTTATTCTGGGCAAGTTTTAAGGGGAAAATTTGTGCTGCTGTTAGTGCAACTGCTGTGTATGTTTGAGCCACTGTTGTCATGCCAGCCAGGTGCAAAGGCAGCTTAGCTACTGAGGTATCGAATGTTCTGAGGACATTCTAGACAACAGCTTAGTTCCTTTTTCAGGCTCATTCGCTTTTGCTTTTTTGTTGAATGATTCCAATCGTAAATAAAGCTTTTAATAATTTTGTGAAAAAAAAAAAAAAAGAAATTTCAGTTTCAGGGATGACTTTAGTGAAGTATCAAGTGACAAACATGATTTTTACCTTTAATTTTTTTCTTTAAGATGTAACATCCTTCTTTTTTCTGCCCTATATAAATTACCAAGTCAATTGCTGCTTTAATATTAAATCAAGAGAATTCTTAAATTAAATGGCTGGTTACTGAACTCAGTTGTAGAGACTGAATATGGAATTTTGCAGTGATTTATTATAGTCCTAGTTTTTGGAAGAAAATTTGCATCATTTAGCAGATATTTAAGATGCTCATAAAATTTCCTTTTTCAGTAGACATAAATATGCATTATGTCAGGCATTGGAATGTTTAGTGAACTAATGCAATTTGTAATTTAATTTGTCTGGTCACGGCATTTAATGAAGAAGTATTCAGTGTCAGTTCATGCCTTTAGGTAACAAATAAGATTATATTATGCAACAATTTATGCAGAAAAGTGTTTTATAAATAATAAAAAACCAGATAAATGCTTTTTATTCTAAAATAAATGTTTAAAAAGTGATCTGAAAGGGAAAATATGTTTTGTTGAATAATTAAAAACTTTTTTTTTTTGTCTTTTGTCTTTTTTCCGTGTCCGGCAACGGATCGCAACCCTCAGTGTTGCCCCCGTACCGGACCGGGGACCGGCAACAGGATCGCAAGCCTCGGTGTTGCTCCCGCGCCTCGCTCAGCCAGTGAGCAGGAGCCGGTCTGTATGTGGGATCCGAACCCTCGGACGGGAGCGCCGCCGCGCTTCCCAAGCGGCGCACTATCCAGTGCGCCACCGGGCCGGCCCTAAAAACTTTTTTTAGTGGGAGAAAAAACAACAAAACAGGGAAAGGTAAGAAAATTTCAGTGCGTCCGTGTCAGTCATGCTGGGTTATGCTTTCAGAATAAGCTCCAGACATCAGCGGCTTCACACGATGAGGTTCCCTGCTCCCCCCAGGTTGACCTTCCACCTTCATCGTGGTCTTGGTGATCCTGCAGGTGATCCTCCAGGTGGTTGCTCGCTGGTCCCACCTGCTTTGCTCCGCAGCTCCACCACCTTGGCCCCTGCAGCAAAAGAATAGCTGAAGAGGCCCTGCGCCAGCTCTTTTATGCTTCAGATCACAAGTGACACAGATAGATCACTTATGCTCACAGCCCATTGCCAGAACTAGTCACAGGGCCCACCTAACTTGAAGGAATGAGGAAGCCATGGGGTGTTTGGGGAGGGCAGTAGTCCCTGCCACCGTGTCCTGCTGTCTTCTCTGTGGAACAGACTCGTAAACCTTACATATTCAGGCAGCCTGGTTGAGACCCTCTGTGAGGTGGTTAAAAAAAAAAAAAACTTCAGTTGGGATAAGTTGGTTTATACACTGAAGTATGTATTCTAGCAGCCTTTTATATTTGTTCGAAAAGAATGTTCACCTTGTAATATGAACACCATGTTCTATTGGCAGTGTTATTTACTGCTAACTCTGAGATGCTAGCCCAGGGTGTTTTTGTCAACATGTGACTCTGTTAGCACAATCAGCTGCTGACTGTAGTTCCTCTTAGGGCAGATTGAAGACTCTAGTGTAAAATTGGTTTTTAATTAGCATTCATTTCTCAGCTATTTCTAGAGTATACTGAAGGTACTTTTGACCAGTACAAATCTTTTCATACGTAATATCTGTCTGAACTCCCTGGTAAGACATTCTATATGAGACCAAGGAAGGAAAAAATGCAGTGAATTTCAGTGTAAGAGAAATCATCATCTTTAGGAAATGCATAAAGGAATAATAGTAACTTGTTGTGTAGTGGTGGATTAATAGTTTTAAGTTGGGGCCGGCCCAGTGTGCCACTTGGGAGCGCAGTGGCGCTCCCGCTGAGGGTTCGGATCCCACATACAGACCGGCTGCTCACTGGCTGAGCGAGGTGTGGGTGCAACACCGAGGGTTGCGATCCTGTTGCCGGTCCCGGTCCAGTACGGGCGCGACACTGAGGGTTGCGATCCGTTGCCGGTCATGAAAAAAAGACAAAAAGGAAAAAAAAAATAGTTTTAAGTTGACGTGACACTGAGGGTTGCGATCCATTGCCGGTCATGAAAAAAAGACAAAAAGGAAAAAAAAAATAGTTTTAAGTTGACGTCGTAACTGAAGGCACATGATGAGATTCCCCACGTATATCTTGATGACAACTGTGCAAAAGCAGCACCCTCCTAATTTTGCACATGGGCCCCACATCCAGCCGGGGGTGGGGGGCGTCTTACCACATACCCCCTCCTCAGGCAACACCACCTTTTTTCCTATGCTTTGCAGTCAAAATGGCCCATCAAAATAAAAAACTTCTCATCAAAAAACACTTAAAAAAATGAAAAAGCAAGCTAGATTGACAATGAAACTAGATTCACAGTACATGTATCTGACAAAACACTTGTATCCAGAATTTACGAAGAACCTCTCTAACTTAGTAATCAGAAGACAATTCAGTTTTTAAAATGGGCAAAAGACTTGAACAGGCACTTCACAAAAGAAGATTTACAAATGCCTTATAAGCACATGAAAAGATTCCCAACAACATTCGTTAGTAGGGAGCTGCAAATTACATCCATGACAAGATACGACTTCACACCTACCAGAATGGCTGACATGAAACAGGTGCCCAAACTAGACATTGGTGAGGGTATGGGCAGCCAGAGCTGGCACCACTGATGGTGCGCAAGCAGCCACTGGGGAAACTGGCAGTTTCTTGGAAGGTAAGACATATGTCTGCCCTACAGCCCAGCGTTTCCACCCCTAGGTATTTTTTCAAGACAAACAACACACACTCACAAAAAAGCTTTCTACAAGTATGATCATAGCAGCTTTTCTCTTAATAGCAAAAAAGTAGAAGTGGCCCACATGTCCATTAGCAGGTGAATGGATAAATTAATCGTGACATTTGCATGCAATGGAATACTCAGCAATGAAAAGGACTGACACCATGGATGAATCTCACGTACCGAAGGAAGGAAGCCATGCACAAGAGGTGCACACTTGTGGTTCTGTTCATGTGCACCTCTAGAACACATGGAACTAACCCTGTGGTGGTAGAAATCAGTACAGCAGCTGCCTTAGGGCAGAGGGCATTGACTGGAAGGGACTTGGGGGAACTTTCAAGGGTGATAAAAATGTTCTGTCTTGATAGAGTGTGCGTTGCTCGAGTATATTGATTTGTCAATATACTGATCGGACTTCCACACTGAAGATGTGTGCATTTTGCTGTATGTAAAGTCTCAGAGGTTAGAGGTAGCCGATGTAGAGGTTCCAGGCTGAGCTGGGTTCAAATGTTAGATCCACCCTATGCCTCCTGCTTAGCCACATTCTAGCTGTATGATCCTGGGCAGATCTCTTCAGGGCTGAGTCCCAATGGCTTCATGTGTGAACTAAGATAGTAATAACTGCATCATTGTTGTGAGGTTTGAATGAAGATATAAAAGACTTAGCTGAGAGCCTGTCCTACAGTAGCTGTTCACTAACTATTGGGTGTTGCTTTTTGCCAGATAGACTATTATCAAATGTAATTTCTTTTTTTTTTTTTAAGGCTCCTTCCATTTCCTTTCCTCTTACAATCAGTTTAATTAACAAAGAGAAATATAAAAATAAAAATGAAGGTTCTTTGGGCGACTTAGTTCATCTTAATTCTAATTAGGATCAAGATTACCTGTAAATATGAGTTCCCTCTCCCCAAATCCAAAACTTGCTGGCAACAGTCACATGTCTGGTGAAGCTAATGCTGGGACCCGCGTTGAAACTATTAATCCCTGTGCTTGGTGGTTCAGGGCACTGTGCTGGCAGCATCTTGACTGCTTTACCCATAGCCTGGAGGGCACGCCATGTGGGACCTGGTAGGTGGCAGGGTGGCCAGACGTCTCCGTGACTCTCCTGTAGTGCCATGTTCTCAAGCCCAGACAAGTTCACACACCCGATGGAGGGACTAGAACAGACCGGGTGACTCGGCATCAGAGTTCAACTGCAAGCACAGCCTCATCTCTTCCTTTGAGGTGTAAAATCAAAGTTCATAGATTAAATAGAAGGTTAGTCATTTTATAGAAGTAACTACAATTTGTGTACTTTTCCTTTATTTGTCTACAGGAGCTATAAAACTGACAAGCTTGGCATGTGGAAATCAGCACATCTGGGCCTGTGATTCCAGGGGTGGAGTTTACTTCCGTGTTGGAACCCAACCTCTAAATCCCAGTTTGATGCTTCCAGCCTGGATCATGATTGAGCCACCTGTCCAGGTAAGCAAAAGTTACCTGGTAGGAAGTTGCCCCTCCATGAGACAGAGGCTGATTGTAACAGCTGTTCTGGGGGAAGAGGACCACCACTGCCATCATAGGCCCCCAGCTAATGGGGAGAGAGGTGTGCCTGGGGTCAGTACACTTTCCTTCACTGGCATCTGAAGCTTAGAATTTGAGAGGTTTAGAGCTGAACAGATTATTAAAGATTATCTGAGCCAACACTTAAGTTGTTTCCCTTTGAAAATAAAACTATTTTGTTTCTGACTTTTTACAAAAAGAACATTATTTTTTTAAAAAAATCAAACAAAAGTATGAAGGAGAAAGTAAAAGCCACTTAAATCTTGTCATGGTGATATTCTATTATCAGGATTTTGTGAGTGTCTCTCTTGGTTTGTTGAGGAAATTGTATTTCCCGTCCACCTCCTTCCAGCTTACTCCTGCCATATTTCAGTTTATAGTGTATTATGACATGCTTTTTTTCTTGTTCTCTTGACTCAAATCACAAGCAGTAGTCTGATTTTAGTGCACTAATTACCCTTAAAGATCTAATAGACTTGGTTCTTATGCTAAGTATATTACTGTTAAAATTTATAATAAGGGAGCTGCAATTTAATGAGAGTTGTTAGCTGAGATTCCTGCTAGTCCCCATTTTGTGACTTTGTCGGAAAAGACATGAAGTTGCCATATGTGGTGGCAGCAATGGGACAGGAGTGGGTAGTCCTGGAACAGAGAATCCCTTTTATGCAGACAGGAAAGAAGTCAGGAGTCTGGTTAGATGCCTTTGTTCCTGACAGTCTATGCTTTGGGCATCATGAGCCCTAACAAACAAGGTGACAGAGGTCGAGGGACACAGTGCAGGGCTGGTCCTAAGGACACCAGTCCTGCCCATCAGACATGGGGCGTGTGATGGGAGACCCTGCAATTGAAATCAGGAGTCTGGCCCAGTGTCCTGCAGAGGACACTTGTTAGTGGTCATGGCCGCAGGGAGGCTCCATGCCCTCATCAGTGGATCTTCTTCCTTCACAGGATTATGGGGAAAATAATGTCTGTGACAACACTAGCGAATTATAAAGGACTGTGCAACCATGAGGTTACACATAATGAATTAGGACACGTGCTCTGTTTTCCCTCTGCACACAATGGTGTACTAACAGTGAGAGCAGTCCACCTGCAGAGAGGATATTTACCACTGACACTGTTTAGACCTGCTGGTACACAGTGATCATGAAAAGCAAGCTATTTGTAGCTAGTTTTGTTGTTATTCTTAAATTCTCTTGTGCCGGCACCTAGGTGGACTCTTTTGGTACGTCATTATCAACTCATTCCTTTTTTTTTTTTTTTTCCTTCTAGCAGCTTCGTATTATTTCTTGTAAGAGTTATAATTCACTTATCATAAAATCCATCCTTTTATAGTACACAACATAGTGGTTTTTAGTATATTCACAAAGACTTGTATACAAATATTCCACAGCGGCATTAAGCATTATTCATAGTAGCCAAAAAGTAGAAACAATCCAAATGTCCATCAGCTGATGAACAGATAAACAAACTGTGCTCTATGCATACAATGGAACTTTGTTCAGTCATAAAAAGAATAAAAAACTGATACATGCTACAGCACGGATGGACTCTGAAAACATAACACTAAGTGAAACGTGTCATACTAAAAAGGCACTTACAATGTAATTCCATTTATATGAAATGTCTAGAATAGGTTCATCCACAGAATTAGAAAGTAGACCAGTGGCTGCCGTGGGCTGAGGGGTTATGCAACAATTACCACTATCTAATTCCAGAATTTCATCACCCCAAAAAGGAACCCCTGACCCATTAGTAGTTCACTCACTTTTATTGCAGAACCCCCGCCCCCTCAGCCCATGGCAGCCACTGGTTACCTTCTATTTCTGTGGATGAGCCAATTCTAGACATTTCATATAAATGGAATTACATAGTAAGTGGCCTTTTTCGTCTGACACGTTTCACTTGGTGTTATGTTTTCAGAGTCCATCCGTGCTGTAGCATGTATCAGTTTTTTATTCTTTTTATGACTGAACAAAGTTCCATTGTATGCATAGAGCACAGTTTATCTGTTCATCAGCTGATGGACATTTGGATTGTTTCTACTTTTTGGCTACTATGAATAATGCTGCTATGGAACATTTGTGTACAAATTTTTGTGAGTACGTTTGTTTTCAGTTCTATTGTGTATACACCTTATAAGTGGAATTTCAGGGTCATATAGTGATTCTATGTTTAAGTTTTTAAGAACTGTCAAACTGTTTTCCACAGTGGCTGCACCATTTTACATTCCACTAGCAATATATGAAGGCTCCAATTTTTCCACACCCTCACTAAAAAAAAATTTTATTCAGTTTTTTGATTCTAGCCATCCTGGTAATTGTAAAGTTATATCTTCTTGTGGTTTGGATTCACATTGACTTAATGACTAATGATATTGAGCATCTTTTCATGTGTTTATTGTATTGATCCATTTGTATGTCTTCCTTCAAGAACTGTGTAATCAAGTCCTTTGCTCATTCAGTCAAGGATTTGGGTCCCCATACCAATCAGTCACCAAAAAAAAAATTTTTTTAATTAATTTTTTTGGCAGCTGGCCAGTAAGGGATTCAAACCCTTGACCTTGGTGCCTTGGATCATTTTTTGATTGGGTTATTTGTCTTTTTGTTATTGAGTTATGAGAGTTCTTTAACTATTCTGGATACTAGACCGTTATCAGATGTATGATTTGCAAATATTTTCTCCCATTCTGTGCATCGTCTTCACTTTCTTTATGATGTCCTTTGCACAAAAGTTTTTGATTTTGATGAAGTCCAGCTTATCTATTTTTTCTTTGGTTACCTGTGTTTTTGGTGTCATATCTAAGAACTGTTGCCTAAGCTAAGGTCATGAAGATTTACACATATGTTTTTTTCTAGGAATTTTGTAGCTTTAGCTCTTACATTTAGGTGTTTCATACATTTTGAGTTAAGATTTGTGTATGGGGCCGACCCCGAGTGCGGCGCTGGGAGCGCAGCGGCGCTCACGCCGCGGGTTCGGATCTTATATGGGGATGGCCAGTGCGCTCACTGGCTGAGCGCGGTGTGGATGACACCAAGCCAAGGGTTGCTGCGCTCACTGGCTGAGCGCGGTGCGGGGATGGCCAGTGCGCTCACTGGCTGAGCGCGGTGTGGATGACACCAAGCCAAGGGTTGCGATCCCCTTACCCGTCACAAAAAGGACAAAAAAAAAAAAAAAAAGATTTGTGTATGGTTTTAAGGTAGGTGTCCAAATTCATTCTTTTACATGTGGATATCCAATTGTACCAGCACCGTTTATTGAAAAGACTATTCTTTCACAATTAAACTGTCTTGACACCCTTGTAAAAATCAATTAATCATAAATATAAGGGCTTATTACTGGACTCTTAGTTCTATTACAGTGACCTATACATCTATCTTATACCACTCTGTCCTGATAACGTAGCTTTGTTATAAATTTTGAAATCAGCAAATATGAGTCATCCAACTTTTTCTTTTTCAAGGTTGTCTTAAAGGGCTGGCTGGTTAGCTCTGTTAGAGCATGGTGCTCATAACACTAAGATCCAGGGTTCCATCCCTGTACTGGCTACAAAAAAAAAGATTGTTTTGGCTACTTGGAGTCCCTCCTATATCCATGTGACCCTTAGGACAAGTTTGTGGATTCCTGCAAAAAATACCAACTGGGATTTTGATAGGAAATGTGTTGAATCTGTAGATTAATGTGGGAAGTGTTGCCATCTGTATTAGTCCATCTCTGTTGCTTATAACAAAATACCTGAAACTGGGTAATTTACAAAGAAATAAAATTTATTTCTTACAGTTTTGGAGGCTGGGGGGTCCAAAGTCCAGGGAACACATCTGGTGAGGGCTTTGGTGGTGGTGGCTCTACAGCAACACAGGGTATCACATGTCTAATGGCTTGAGCAAGAGAGAACTAACTGGCTCACTTGCTATCCTTATAAAGCCATCAGAACCACACCCATTACTCCGTGAATGGATCAATCTATTCACAAGGGTATAGTACTCACAACTTAATCACCTCTCAAAGGCCCCACCTTTCAGTTTTCATAATAGGATTTCCCACTGTCTTAACACTGTCACAGTGGGGATTAAATTTCTAATACATGAAACTTCAGGGGACACATTCTACCCATATCACCATCTTACCAGTATTAAATCTTCCAGTTCATGAACATGGGATGTCTTCCCATTTATTTAGATCTTCTTTAATTTCTTTCAACAATGTTTTATAGTTTTCAAAATACATATTTTATACTTCTTTTGTTAAATTTATTTCTGAGTCCTTTATTTTGATGCTATTGTAAATGGAATTGTGTTCTAATTTCATTTTCATATTGTCCATTGCTAGTGTTGATTTTTGTGTGTTGATCTTGGTCTGACAACCTTGCTAAACTTGTTTGTTAAGTAGCTTTTTTGTAGATTCCTTAGGATTTCCTTATAGACAAGATTGTGTCATCTTACATGATCTGCAAATATAATTTTACTTCTTCCTTTCCTATCTGGATGTCTTTTATTTTATTGTCTTGCCTAATTGCCCCGGCTAAAACTACAATGTTGAGTAGAAGTGGCGAGAGTGGGCATCCTTGTCCTGTTTCTGATCTTAAGGGAAAAGCATCCAGTCTTTTACCATTAAATATGATGTTAGCTGTGTGTTTTTTGTAGAAGCCATTTATTAAGTTGAAGAAGTTCCCTTCTATTCCTAGTTTGTTGAGTGTTTTCATCATGAAAGGATGTTGGGTTTTGTTAAGTGCTTTTTCTACATCTACTGAGATGGCCGTGTGATTTTTTTCCTATGTTAATATGGTATATTGTATTGATTGGGTTTTATTCATATGTTGAACCACATTTTCATTCCTGGGATGAATCCAACTTGGTCATGATGTGTAATCCTTTGTATGAGTTGCTAGATTTGGTTTGCTAGCATTTTATTGAGGATTTTTG